GTATAGGTTTGTGAGATTTTAATTACTATACTGTCTAGTTTGTCAATAATTCAATTTAATTATCTCAACTTGTCGTTCTTCAGCACAATACTGTGTTAATTATTAATGAACAACGCTAGATTAACTTACGAATCTCATTTCTAACTGTTCTAAATTGACCACATAACAGATTATCAAATTGACTGAGCCATGGTGGCTCATTGAGTGAAGCGCTTGCTCACTTCCAATGAGGTCCTGGTTTCGGTCCTGTTATTAGCTAAGAAAGATCCTCCGGACATTCCACTTTATTTCAGCCAAATAGACCGATTGCAGAAAGAACTGAGTGCCAGAATTTATTCTTCATTGACTGCACTGAAAAAGGGTTAGGTGAAAGGGTTTAATTGTCGGGAAAATCTGACATGAAATCTCCCTCAAGAAAGAAATAAAAAAAATGATCATCATTATCACATGCTTAAACTTAATTTAGCGATTGTTTTAAGCTTAAAATACATTTCCACAGGGGAGAAGTTGTCTTTATATTCATTAATGGTCTCTGTTTCCACTTTCCTAGAATTTTTTATGTAAAATAAAAGGTAAATTGTGATCCATATCTAGACCATGCTGCGTGATAGCAGTATTAGCCCTAGTCTTTAGGCCTACATGATTATTTTGAATCTATGCACATAAAAAAAATATTCTCTTGTTTTTTTATGCTTATTTTTATTTATTTATTTATTTTTTTGTATGATTGATCAGCATATTTATAAATGTCAAATGATAAAATGTGAGATAAAAACAAAATGTCATAAAATATTTTTCTGTTTTACTACAATTGGTACCTTCCCCTTTTTATAGTTCATTATTCCTTACACCTATAAGTTAAATAGTATATTTCTTAATTTACATTTATAAGTTAAATATTATATCTACCTCTTACTGCTCTCTCCGTTGGCATCATCGTTTGATTAATAAGTAGCTGCACAGAACTATCGGCTGATCCAGCCATGAATGTTGCTCTTTTTAGGGAGTGTTGCTGTCCCCCCTCTTTTACTATCTCTTATATTAAATAGTATATTTCTTGTGTTACATAAGTTGAATAGTAATAAGTATATTTCCTATGTGACATAAGTTAAATAGTATATTTCCTATGTGACATAAGTTAAATAGTATATTTCCTATGTTACTACATACGATTAAGATGAATAGTACGCTTCTTATGTTACATAAGTTAAATAGGATTAATGTCTTAAACATGACATATGTTAAACAGTGTTTATTTGTAAAAGAACAAAATTGAGATATAATTAAATCATTTTATGGTTGGTATTTTTAAAAGAAAACTGCCAAATTTCTCCAAAAAACCCAAACCAGGCAATGCCTTTTATGGAGAAAAGAGCTCTTTATATAATGGTAAAAGTTGATATGTTGAAAATATGTGTAGGCGGTGTCCTTTGATCAAATGTTTACACGAGTAAATACAACTTGTCAAGGTTTCAGGTCACATGATCTCTTTTTCTGGTCTCAATAATTACTTTACAAAATAATGACAATGTTTTGAATAAAGGTAGAGAAAGGGAAGGGAAAGTATTGCTCTGATTAATTATTAAGATGTTTCAGGTGTCACACATGAAGCAGGATATGCTTGTACGTGACAAGGAGAAGGGTTGTTTGCCAATCCTCTTGGGTTTCTCCAGGTCCTCCGTTCCCCCGCCCCCTCTGCTAAAGACCCATAAGCGTAAGCGAATTATTGAAATAAAATTGTACCATATGTTAGTCCCAAAATGACCTTGTGAGTGTTGAGTGGATGTTAAACCCCCATTTCTCTCTCTCTTCTTCTTCTGATAAAACGATTGTAAGTTAACCGTTATAATAAAACTGTGATGTGGGCAGGTTATTGTATTGTGAAGGTCGTGGGGAGAGAATGTTATTGATGAGTCGAGTTAGGGTGGTTGTAGGAGTAAAGTGAAGAGATAAACAGTATTGATTCTTTATAATGTGTAGGTGATCCACAGGAGTCTGGTTTCATTATCATCACATGATTGTTATCATTTAATATTACCACAGATCATTTCAAAATCAATACCATTCTAAAATTGGCATAAAAATCTTAAATTTATATAAGGTTTGTTAAATAAACATGAAATTCATTTTATTTTACTAGAAAGATATTGGTCTGTTATAATATTTGAAAAATTGTCATTTGAGGGATTTTTAAGCTCTTTACAACTACAATATTGTGAAAGGTGAAATTTTACTAAAAGAGAAAAAGAAATCAGTTCCTAAATGGGGAAAATCTTTTGATGGGCCTCTTTTTAATCAGTTTGAATCCTGGCTAAGAGATTATCTACCAAATCATTGATATCTTGATTTTGTTTTTTTAAGGTAGAAAAGGATCTAAGCATTTGATACTGCTTAAATTTTTCATTAGAGGCGCTCGATCGCTGCACGATCTTGGCCTCTAATGATTTAAGCATAATCAAATGGACAATAATAGTCTGATAAATTCTAAACGGTCGGTGTTTATCTTCTAATTAAGCATGTGAAAAATTAGATAAAATTGCACAAAATTTGCACAATGGGCATTATCAGCTTTAAATATAGCTAATGGGTACATATTATATTTAAAAAAAAAGAATCATTTGATAATGATACAAAAAGTTGGGTATTATAATTTCTTTATGCAGCATGACTCAGACATGTTTAATAGACTTCCTTAAACTCAAAAGACGAAGAAGAATGGCCACAATAATATTTTATAATGGAAGTGTTGTAGAATTAATCCTGTGATTCATTGATCTAAGCAGAAAGGTGATGGTTTATTTAACAAAAATGATAAATTATGTCCCAATTAATTGTATTGGATGGTCAGAAATTGATAAGAAAGTAGATTTACTCAGCTCTGTAATTTAATTAGAGCTTTTTAACAGATTTATTATAAATGAATATTATCAGTTATCCCTCACCTACGCTCTATAATCACTCACAGTCTGTGAATGAGTGCCATCAATATATAGCATGGGAATCACACAATAAGAGAATTTGACTGGAGAATACAAATATCTCAATTATCTAATCCAACAGTTTACCAGGATTACTACTGTACTAGCTAATATTCAATGAATTTCAGGGAAAATTGTTCACAGATTGATTGCAGATGCAACATTTATTAGATTTTATATGTTGATTTGTTTTGTGGAATGCCAATCTGTCTTCATTGAAACTTTTTTGTCTATGATTAAAGATGCATTATAGCTAAATCTGCCTATTGCAGGTCTTTCTTTTGGCTTCAAATGTTAAATGGATTATTAATTAGACATATATTCACATGACAAGCCTATAATCAACTCGCTAAAACATAGAATGAATTAGAACGCCTGCAAGATTTGAAAATTTAACGGTAAATTTGGATAATAAATGATCTACGCTACATCATCAGAGTCATAACTTTGCCCAGAATAAAGTAATTTGAATAAAATTTTCAGTATATTATAGCAAGAACAGCCAGCTCTTTATCTAAATCTTACATAATGCATCTTTAAAGACTGTTGAGATATAACCATGTTTTTTTATTTATTATTCCATTGTTGATACAGTAATTAAAAAAATTAAACTAAACTTAGTAAATAACCTATTCCGTTTCATCTTTCGAAGCATTTCCCCAGGTTGTAAGCCATAAAAGAACTGTTGAACCAAGTAATATTAGTGAACATAGATGAAGTTTTTAAACTTGACAGTAATTGTTGTTAATATCAGATGATTATTTTGATGAAGACTTAGAAACTGCGTCAAGTTTGAGAATCATACAAATGTTATTAGGATTCTCTTTAGTAAGAATCTGAATTATATATGATACCAATCTCCTAAATGCCAATCAAAATGGTATTAATTGACATTTTATACTTCGTATCAAAGTCAAAGATCCATACAAATACCATTCAAATTGATTGTAATATACATGAGGAGCCATGGTGGCTAAGTGGGTAAGACGCTGGCTCGCTAGCTCGGAGGTCACATGTTCGATCCCTGCATTGGCCGAGAAAGTTTATCTTGAGGGACGGAGGGACTGACAAGGACCGAGGCCCCGTGTATACATTGACGTGCATGTAAAAGATCCCTTGACAGTTGGAATTCTATGTAAGAGTAGGCCAGTTTCAATATTCAGATTTATAACAGTGTCCTGTAATTTTTATCAGCGCTTTGAGCAAGCAATACTGTTACCAACATTTCTTTACTGAATGTAACATTTTAGAGAGATTAACTTTGGGGATTACTTAAGAATGTTGCAAATAGTGGTGCTTAAATTGTTAGAATTTCTAGATTAATATGCATGTTCAACATTTCAGTATGATTACTATGATTAAAATCTGATGAATGAAAACACATTCTATTTGTATAGACATATTATTGTCGCTTTAAATACTATTATAATGATATTGTATTAGTTTTCATTTTATGGCTATTTATATTATATCTGTTTTCTGATCAAACTTTAAAAAAATATTTTCAGTGTTAAATTATCTCATTCCCTTGATGTATTAAAATATGTCAACAGTTAACTGATATTCAAAGAAATGATGTTTTCTTTTGAGTTTATCTTTAAATATCAATTTAGAAAGCCAGATATATGGATGATGACGTAATGACTGAAGCATATTTGTGTTTATTGCCCTAGTTGACAATGTCAAGACATCCTCACATTTGTGCACTCTGTATTTTCAAATACAAAGAAATCTATGATCTCTGTTTTTCACATCTTCAGAAAGAAAAAAAAATATAGTAATAGCATACTTAGTGAGAATTATGGAAATGTCCTCAAGTATTTTGTTTAATCCCCATTGCAATGAACTAGTGAACCAAATACCAGAACTATACTGGTTGTCAAGACATATTCTCTTTTTAGAACACCTAATACCACTCCCGTGTAAGGAGTCCATGTACATATTAAGTTTCTTTCACATGATCTTGCTTTATAGTTACTGTACGAGCAAAATTTTCATAAAATGATTTGTGTATCCTTTCAGGGACAGAGCCGAATCTTCCAGTAGTGAGAGTTCCAGTAGTAGTAGTTCCGAGTCGGAATCAGAAAGTGATTCCAATAATTCTGATGATGAGGAAGAAGAGGAAGAGAAGAAAGAAGAGCTGGAGGAGAAAGATGAAAGTATTAAAGAACTGGAGAAATCTACAGATTCTGTCTCTTCTAAGGAACTAAGCTCGGTAAATAGAATACAATTTCGTGAAAATCAGACCGAAACTGCCGGACAAAATGGCCACTCCCTGTACGCAAATAGTGTTAAAGTATGTAATTATACTATTCAAAAAAAGTAGGGGATATTTGATTTTGGGGGCATAATACTAAAATATGCAAATGACTACGAAAAAAGTCACTATAGAACCTAACAGAAGAAACATTTCCAGTTACATGTGACGCCCAAACGCACCAATAGCTACCGCATGGAATGCAGGTGATGCTTGGGATCATCATGGGGGTCCAACCCAAGATTTGCACGACTCTGACTTTGAATGTTACAGTCATTGTGGCATTGAATTCCAGGGTGGAAACATCAGTTTAATTGTTTTAGTGACCAGAAAACAAATTTTGATATGCGTCGGCTTACCCAAAATGAAAGGTTACGTGCCCTTGGCATGCTACAGATCGGCACAACACAGGCGGTTGTGGCGCGGACGATGAATGTTTCTCAGTCTGTCATAAGCAGGCTATGGTCCAGATACCGTGATACACAATCTGTACAGGACAGACCACGCTCAGGTCGACCAAGGGCGACAACTCAAGCCCAGGATCGATTTATCCGTACCTTGGCCTTGAGAAATCGTGTCATCACAGCAAATCAGATCAGCGCTCGTCTTCAAACAGACACTGGTGTGAGAGTGAGTGGCCAGACGATTCGGAATCGACTGCATAGGGGTCACCTTCGCGCCCGACGTCCTCGCGTGATCCCTTGTTTGAGAGATCATCACATTCAGGCAAGACGTCGTTGGTGTAGGGATCGTCAACACTGGGATAATCGACGCTGGAGCAATGTGATGTTTTCAGATGAGTCAAGGTTCACTGTTGATTTTTTGGACAGACGTAGGAGGGTGTGGCGTCGTTGAAACGAGCGCTTCCAAGACGTTAACGTCATCAGACATGATCGATTTGGGGGTGGTTCTGTTATGGTGTGGGGAGGCATCACTGTTGATGGAAGAACGGCTTTACATGTTGTTGCAGGGCGTGTTACAGGCCAGTACTACCGGGACAACATCTTGGCAGTCCATGTTGTGCTGTTCGCACGACGTCATGGCCGCCGTTTCATCTTCCAGGATGACAACGCAAGATGTCACAGGGCCAGGATCGTTACAGGTTACCTCCAACAACAGAACATCACCACATTACCTTGGCCAGCACTGAGTCCCGACCTCTCCCCCATCGAGCATGTCTGGGACATGCTTGGACAGAGGTTACGTCAACGTCAACAACGTCCTGCCAATGTCCAAGAACTTGCTGCTGCGTTGCAACAGGAATGGGACAATCTGGACCAAAATGACCTTAGACGTCTCATTAGGAGTATGCCACGTCGGATCAATGCTTGTTTGGCAAACAGAGGAGGATTTACCCGTTACTGACTTGGTTGTGATGCTGTGGTAACTTTGCTGTTTGACCCCGGGTATCATTTTACCCTTATAATGGTCAGTCTGTGCCTTACTTAGTCTAACGATCATTTGGAATAAATCGATGAATGTGAACTTCATTTCATTTTGTCATTTGTTTCTTCGTCAGTTTCATTAGGTGACTTTAATAACACTTAAAAATCAAATATCCCCTACTTTTTTTGAATAGTATATATCAAGGTTGTAGACTCTTTAATGGTCACAATTTTTATCAGATTTTGATAAAACTTAAAACGTGTTTATATCCCAAAGATCTTTGTTCCTTTTGATTTTCGCAAATATCAGACCGTAACTTCCTGGATGATGGCCCCTGATTGTATGAAAAAATCGCGATTTTAGCTTGTGAACCCTGTAGATGTCACAATTTTTATCCGATTTTAAAATTCGTTTAAATGTATCATTACACCCTGGTGATGATTGAGTTCGAATTTCGTAAAAATGGCCTCTCCTTGAACTCAGATATGTAATACTAAGGTCAAAATCTTTGTCTGATTTTGATGAAACGTAAAATATATGTTTATATCCCAAAGATCTTGGTTCCTTTTGATATTTGTGCGTATCAGACTGTATCTTCCTGGATTATTGCCCCTGGCATGGTTACCCCTAGTCAGTGATGCAGGACGGAGGAATTGATAGGGACAGCTTTCTAGTCATTCAGATGATACAAAAAAACGAGGTCCCGTGTACACATTGGCATGCACGTAAAAGATCCCTTGACAGTTGGAATTCGATACAAGAGTAGGCTGTAGTGCCGCTGTCCGGGCAAAATTTCCCTCATAGCACACTGTATGGCGTATGCATTAGCCCAGTTCGTAGCAAAACAGCAGACGTTAAACCCCATTTCATTTCATTTATTGCCCCTGATTGTACGGATTTTTAAAACCGTTTAAATATATCACCATTACACCATAATGAAGGTTGAGTTCAAATTCAGGGAAAATGAAAACTAAAATGGCTGAGCACTCCTTGTACGTAAATTGTGTAAAAGTATGTAATATGAAGGTTATGGACCCTCTACAGGTCACAATTTTTGTCCGATTTTGATGAAACTTAAAATATATCTATGTATCCTAAAGATCTCAGTCCTTTTCGATGTTCATGCATTTCAGACCTTAACTTCGTGAATTATGGCATATCTTGCCTGGCAACCGCTGGTGTAGAATAAGAGCTAGGGCAGACCCCATCTAGAATGAGAGCAAGTATAGTCCCCATCTTCCAAGTCATACCTACAGGAGCTAGCGTACCACGCACCTACTGCATAATTGTGTGTAACTTATTGTAAATGCCCCTACAAAAGTTGAAACGCCTCAAACTGTAAGCAAGAATAAAAACTAATAACCTCTTTTGTATATATTTCAGCAATCTCAACCATCTGAACCAAGATGGAGTTTGGACTCTTTTATTGAGAAATCCAAAACCTCTCCTATCCCACAGATGAGTTCTGGTACAAAGCCTGGATCTAGTGGTATTGATAAAATACATGACGATAATAATGCTCTACTCGATGAAATGGTCAAATATATTCCATGTAAAAAGTTGGAAAGTATCGGACACTCGTCAACATTACCGTTTGACGTTCCGTTGAGTGAGGATGATGACGACGTGACCGTGCCTGGCTGTGATATAGAACGATTTCAAAATGGGGCTCATTCTGACCATGATCTTCCTACTCCGTCGTCTGTGAAAAATCCGCCATCAATTTGCTCACCCTATGTGGACAGTTCATGTAGTAGCGACGACACAAGTTCTAGCAAAATCACAAAACCGGCTCAAAAACACAAACTTACAAAACAACGTCGACAATCAAGCTCAAATAAGTTATTAACTGACAAACCTAAAAAAGACAGCAAGTCTTCTAATTCAAAGAAAAGTCACTCTAGTGATAATAAGCCGTCAGATGTGAAGTCTAATAAAGAGGAGAAAAAACGCAAATCGACAGGGACAAAACGTAAGAAACCGATATCGAGAGAAATTGTTGACACGGACAGTGATATAGATGTTGATGTGGTTTCCGTTACCCCGGGTAAACACACAGCACCCATGTCCTCTATGCTCTCGGACCACAATCAAAACGATAAGTTCCCAGTTACTAAACAATTGTTTTCTCCCAAACGACAATCGTCTCCTGAATCTAAACTCAATAATTCGCAATCATCGGTCAGTAGTAAGTCTAGTAGTAAACATCGTTCTAGTGATAGAGACAGGGAAAAAATATTATACAAAGAAAAACACAAAAACAATGTGAAAAAAATAAAACCCCAAATTTACAATAGTAGTGATGAGGATGAGAGCACGGATTGCGGACAGGAGGTGGAGGATATCTTAGAGTCTACGGAGGATTTTCGTCCCCCCAGTCTACATTCCCCTCTCCCTCCATTCCCCTATCCATGTAAAGATATCAAAACATCTCCCTCGGACACCAAACATCTTGTCTCTTTTAATTCCAGTATTAAGCCATTAAAACCATCATCTGTGAAAAATGTGACATCACCAAAATCTGAATGTGCTGTGAAAAAATTAAACCATAATGTGCAAAGTGACATTTCTGTGAAAACTCCGGTTGTAGTGAAAATTAATTTATCTTTATTGAAAAAAAATCATCACAATTCCCCAAGTGCTTCGAGAAAACTAGTCAGCGAGGATAAAGCGGTGAAAGTGAAAAAAGAAAATGGAAATTCATTAAATGACCAAATTGAAATTAAACCGGAATCTAAGTCGAGTGAAAGTTCTATGTCAAAGGAGACGTCTTTGAAAAAAACGAAGAAAGAGACGGAATCGGTTGACGATAGTATTTCGTCGATGAAAAAAGACGTTTCAAATGTTTCCAAATCATCTTCACCTGCCAAAGTGCCCAAAAAAGAATCCGATTCCACAAAGTCATCGTCAATAAAAACTGAAAGTGAATCTTCGTCCAGTCATTCGAAGAAAAGTTCTAAAAAGGATAGTGATAGTTCTAGAAAAGATAATGACATTTCTAGAAAGGATAGTGATATATCAACGACAAATTCAAATTCAAATTCCAGAGATACCGATATAAAAAAGGAAAAAGACTTACAATCGGTAGTTAAAAAGGAAAAGGATTCTGAAAGTAGAAAGGAAAAGGATTCTGAAAGTAGAAAGGAAAAAGACTCTGAAAGTAGAAAGGAAAAAGACTCTGAAAGTAGAAAGGAAAAAGACTCTGAAAGTAGAAAGGAAAAAGACTCTGATATTAAAATCGAAAGAGAATCACACAGTAAAAGAGAATCAAAGGATTCTAAGTCCGATTCAAAAGAATCGTCTAGGACAAAAGAATCAAAACCCCATAAGCGTAAAAATGAGGGTAGTCATAGTGAAAGTGCTAAAAAACATAAATCTGGGAGTAAAAGTAGCAGCAGTAGTAAAAGATCTTCACATGAGTAAGTATTTACATTCAAAAATTTTAAATCACCTTTCCCATTTTAATCAATATAGCATTACCACATCAAATTATATCATTAAAAACAAATATATTATGTGTTGTGGGTACCGTAATGGAATCAGAATAATTTCTTGAGTTTTCAAGTCCCCATAAAAGGCTCCACATTTAAGAAGTTGCACAAATTACGACATCATTTCCTTAAGTTGTACATTGTATTTTAACCAATGATTATAAGATATAGAGATATTTGTGATTAATATTCGTAGTTGTTTTAAGATCTACATCATGGAAATACATTTATAAGCTTATTTGTCATTCCTACTCAAAGTCATTAGTATTTAGTAATGAAGAAAACAACCTATACCATTACTAACTATTAGAGACAATAATAATACATGTACATGGCTTTACTAGCTGTTGTGTTAGTGATAAAAAAGCTTTAAATCTTTATTCCTCAATAGAGATTAAATAGTGTGTGGCTATTATTAGTGATGTAAATAATTTTTGTGTCTTAGCTAGTCATTAGTTAGAGATGAAAACAATTCTATGGACTACAATTACTGTTTTAAGGTTTAGTGGGAAGGACTGCAAAGAAAAACTGTTTAGTTATTAAAGATCCTTTGACAGTTGGAAATAAAAAGTCTCCATGACGTACATATATATTTATCTTTCTAGTATTCTAGTTGTACCCTTTGAATTTGAATATGTGTTAAGATCAGTTCTATAATTATTTGGTTGGTTTTGATCAGGAATGGTGTTGATTTGGAAGGTGATGAGAAACGTCCGCCGAGTAGAAGTGAGCGTAGAAACAGCACATCCAGCACATCTAGTCGTCATAACTCTAAAAGTCATTCAAAAAAACCTAAACTCGAATCTAAAACCAATAAAGATGACAAATCATCTTCGAAGGTAGGTTGATGTTTGAAATATTTCCAGAGAATGTTATGATGATATGCAGATTGTGGAATACCAATCTGATTAATTTTACAGATCTATATTTCGTTTCGCTTTTTATTTTTTTTATGGCCTTGGCTACATGAAGATCTGACCGGTTGTAGTGGTCATACGAGTAGCTTTTGTTCCTATGACATCAGACATTTGATTAACCAATCAGCATTGATGTTTCTAGTGCGATACCCACAACTCTGTGCACTGGATGTCAAGAACTCGCCGCAACAGACCTTTTCATTTGTTTATCCCTCACATCAACCAGAACGTGTGTTTTATAATTATAGCAGCTCTTACTGTAGTAAAGACAAGTAAAACAAAATTTTGAACTATAAAAAATGAAATGAAATAAGATCTGTTTCTAATCAGATTGAGTGGAATACCTGATACGGAATAACACTGGGCTCAGTTAGATTTGGTTGGGTTGGTGTAATATACTAAGATCAAATGATAATAATGTCAATTTCTTGTGGACCCATTGGATCAACAAGCAAGCCTAAAGCACTTTTATTAAGTTTTAAAAGCTATAAAAGCTATTCACATTTTACATCATTTTCAATAGAAGGCTTGATCTTGCTTTAACTACGTACATCTTATCAAGGCCTTTACGTAATACCCTGCATATATCGGCACTAATTTTGATTAGGTACAAGCCCAGATTGTAAGCCTATCAGATTCCACGGTCGTCGCGAATACCAAGTCTTGAGCTTTCAAGCTAATATGTCTACCTGTGATAATCAAATTGCAAAGGTTCGTTCAATGTCAAGGTTTCCGTGGAGGTCCCGATGTCACAACCTCTGATTGGACGCTACTGTTCACGTGTCTGCGGATAACGTAGCTATAAGTTCGGGAATTGTGAAGTAATCTAGCAACGTCCAGATGTTGTAAAACTGGTAGTCGTTGCTTCAGGAACATGATTTTACATTTGATTTAGAATTAACATTATTCCTGTTCTGTGTATTTCATTGCTGTCATTGAATCAACTCATAGATAGGGCTACATAGAATTTAATAAATCCGTTGTATAAATATCATGAAGGAATTCGTTATATAAATTTGATATATAAAAGTCATTATACTTCAGTGACATCTTCCGTTCGATATACTATTTTCGTCAACTGTGAAATTATTGAGCTAAAAAAGTGTTACTAAGCTGTGACCAGTCAAATAAACTTGGATGTTATTATAATTTTATTTTACATACATGTATATGGTATATTTTTTGTCAGAAATCAATAGCTAAAAGAAGACAATATTTATGAACATATGCCCTACTGTTTTTAGAAAATTTGTATTTTTTAAAATAGATTGTGGGTTTAAGAAATGTATGGTAACTAATTTCTAATTATCGGAATTCATTTAATTTAGTGTTTTGATGTTTTCAGAAGGATGTTAGTCATCAGAATGGTGGGGAAAATCATCTACCATTCAGTAATTATTCTGATGCACCTGTTACATCATCCCCATCAAAACCAAACAAACTTTCTACCAATAAACCAGCTTTACCTAGTGATGAGTAAGTTACCTTTCACTTTCACCCATCAATCATCGGCCATATGCATACTAAATTACACACAGTTCATTTAAATCAGAAACTCACATCTACTATTTCCATATGTAATAGATGACGCAGGAAAATGGTAGGTCACATGTGATCAAAACCCTGCCAAAAACCGTAACAATCAACGAGTAAATGGCGTCAACACATGGACTACATTCTTTCGCTGTAGTATTTTGCAAACATATTTAAAAAATCATTACCATTATATTATGTATTCATGCAGGAAGAAGGGCCTGACAAGGACAGCTGTCTAGCTGTTCGTATGGGACGAAAAACCGAGGTCCCGTGTACACATTGGCATGCACATAAAAGATCCCTTGAGAGTTAGAATTCAATATAAGAGTAGGCTGTTGTGCCGCTGCCCGGGCAAAATTTCCCTCATAGCACACTGTATTGGGTATTCCCGTCTTCATTAGCCCAGTTCGGAGCAGAACAGTAGGACGCTAAACCCCATTTCATTTCATTTCATTTATAATAGTATTCATCTCTAAAGTAAAATGTACACTGTCTGACATAACAAAACCGATGTGTGTGTATGGGGGCAGATGAGTACAACTTACCGGAAATATTCTTTGATTCTAATTACCTCAATTTGAGGGTTATATAAAAGAAACAGATATATATATTTAAACTCGATAAGGTTGACCAACCAAGTTGATGAGAAATAACAACACTATAACCTGCTAGTGCTACCATATACAGGCCGGGGGAAAAAGCCAATGAAATGCACGTGAATTCCTAGCGAAAAATCACTGTGAATTCCTAGGGAATGAATCCTAATTTCACAGTGTTTTTTCTGTGGTGTTTAAGCGTTTTCACCTCTAAAAAGTTAAAACGAACTGTATAATTGTTGGGTGAAATCTTTTGATGGGCCTCTTTTTAAGCCGATTTTATCATTGGCGGGAGCAGAGGTCGCAGTGGATCAATTTCGAGTTGCGTAAAAATATGCAGACATTCCAAAATTTTGCGTTTTTGCCCTCTACATCTGCGTGACTTAGAGCCTCTCAAAATACTCAATATAGAAGCATGTAAAGTAGTTTTGTTCGAACAACCCTATTTTAAGCGTCCTTATTTCATTGATATGCCTACTGTATTTAGTCTAATGACTGGAGGTTAACGGCATGTCTATGGTTGACGGCACAGTCATTTCAATCTTTCACTTCGACAGGAAGTACAGAGAAAACGATTGGTATGAAAGCCAACATTTGATTGGCTGAATGTAAACAGTATATCGTATTCTAGCCAATCCCAAGTCTTGTATGAAATGCGCTTTATTGCATCCAATAGGATAGCTACGTAGGCTTACTGTCATGAACTAATGAATGAAATAAGAGGAAATATAAAAAACTACGGAGACTATGTGCAGTAGAGGTGTGTAAATGCTGGGTGAAGCACATAAATTGTACAAACTACGACATAGAATAATCTAATTATTATCACGTCGGGGAAATTTTCTGCGTGTAAATTATGCAGCGTCCGTCAATATTTGCGTTTATTTTGAAAAAAATGCGTGAAATACGCGGACTTTTGCGTGACTGCGACCTCTGGGCGGGAGATTATCTACTGTTGATAATTTGTTTTCTTGATTAAATATTAAACAATCAATTTGAGAAGAATTTAGTGTGTATTAAGCCGTGAAGATCAGTATTTGAAAAATACATGATCGGGATCAGTGGATATAACAAATGAAATCAAGGGACAGTTGCAGGAATCAACCATGTTTTAACATTAACAACAGAATCATTCAATTTTTATTCAAATAAGTCAATGAATATTTTAATTGCTTTGATTGCAATCTTTATTGGTCTGCTGTAAGTACGAACTTTAATTAATAGCCATGTTTAATATATTATGAGTGAGCGATCACATGATTTATATGATGGTATTTAAAGATTATTTTTCAATGTTTCAGATTAGATCCAGCAGACCATTACTTAACACGTGCCAAAGAACTCAAACATCAGGCAGACTCGCAGGTAAAATATATATTTATAATAAAAATATTCTTTATTGAATCATATCAAAATGTACATGTTATTAAAGTCAGAAGGACATTATTCCTACTTAAAACATTAACCAACTTTAAAACAGGATCTGATCCTAACAAAATCAATATTTACTTTGAAAATTGTTTATTAACATGTAAATGTTAAATTCCTGGGTATCTAGACAAGAGTAGTCAGGTGGACATTATTCTTACTTGAAACATTAACCAACTTTAAAACAGGATCTTATCCTAACAATATCAATATTTACGTTGGAAATTGTTTATTAAAATGATAGTTAAACCTGAAATTTGGAAAGTAATACTTTACATAGTTCAGTGCAGTTTAATTTAGTTTTATATCTATGATAAACTAATTGATTTGATTGGGTTTTTTTCTGTACAGAAGGATAAGCCAGTTCAGATGATCACCTATACCGAGGCTGTTCTTGCTTTTATCCAATGTGGTTATGCCATGGAACGACGAAAACTTAGTGAACCATTACGAATATTTACCATGTACACTGAAACCCTTCAACTACTCAAGTAAGTTCAATCTTACCTATATTTTAAGATTTTTCTATTAAACTCCGAAATATTACTGTCATGAATTTAAGAATAAAAAAAAATCAATGTGATATAGATCCTTTGTTGTCTTGTATAAATATAATTAAGATACCAGAGCTAAATATTCCTGAAAAACCTAACTAACAAATAATTTCAGCCATGGGCTGATTTATGTAAAATGAGTTAACTTTCCAGCCATTCTTTCACACGCTGGTGATCAGCAGACTAGATTATCAAGTATCAATATTTCTTTATTAATGAATATTTCAACTAAGATACTTGACACTCAAGTCTTCGAACACAGGCATGTATAATCTAAGAAGAAAAACAAGAGTTTATCATATCATAAATTTAGGCTATCCCCATATGTGACATCATGCCATTTTAATAATAATAATGATAGATATGTTGATGAAGTAAATAATACTGCTTGTCTGGCAAACACTACTGATACCTGTAGTTTACTTTCATGTTAAAAGAGGCCACAACCTTTCAGTTCACAGTTTAACATATGATGCATGAAACAAGTGAACAACTTTTGTTACCTGACAGTATAGTTAATAGGTTTATTGAAATTTGACACATCTATACTAGTAAACAATACACCTGGTTTCATTTTATTTCTTCTGTCTAAATAAAAGACCAATGTTTTCTGCAAAGGAGAGTTTTATGGGTCATGTGAATCAGTGAATTTTGAGATACCAGTCAGTACTATAAATATATCTAATCACTAAGATTATTAGAAATGAATATGTATTTATAACAGATGAATATGTATTTATAACAGAAGATGTATACATCATGTCAGAGGTTAAAAATTGGTGGAATTAATTTATTTTGGTTATTTATTAACATTGAATCGTTCATACAATTAATAAAGATTATTAATATTAAATTGTCACATGAACAATCAACAGATATTGAATTACAAATCCATGGCACATATTTTTAAAGCTTTTAACCGGTCTCAAAATGGCTCTAGTGTGTGTCGAATTTTAAATACTGGTGGGAACACACCACTGTCTGGGCAAGATTCCTTCATAGCACACTGCATGTTGTATACCCATCACCAGCGAGAACTGAACAATGCAGCAAGTAGAACTGAACACTATCTAATTTTAAATCCTTAGTATTGGCTTATTGATTTGATGGTAACGAAATTAGGTTTTTTATTTAAGAAAACCAAACTAGTAACTGGAGAATCTTGAGACTTTTTTTCATTGCCACAGAACCATAGATATTACTGGTGATTCATAAGGGACAAATGGAATTTTCTGGAATACAATATTGGAAATTTATGTCTAAATTCAATAAAACGTGTCTAGCGTATTTCAGTGTCTGGTTACTTGGTTTATTCTCATGTGATTAGAATTTGTCTGACTTTATTACAACTTTCATTCATGCGACAGGCTTTCAATTATCTTGATACTGTCTTATATCCACTAGAACAAAGTGGAAGTAGAGCTATATTTAACAGTAACTGAGTCATAAATACTAGTACAGTATACATTGTGGGTAATATTTCAATGCTGCTGTGTAACAAGAAACCAAAGCAAAAGTAGAGCTATACATACACCATAGGCTGAGTCACAAAATACAATGTTAAGTCATATAGTACTAATTATGTACATACATGAAAATGAGTCAGATTTGGTTCTGATATCACTGTCAAGATATGTACTAAAGTACTCACACACACATTTGAGTAATTCTTTTAATGATTGTGTACCAAATGCCATTGCACCAGATAATTGTTTTCCTTTTAGACAACCTTTATCACAAATTTATAAGATGTAAATCATAAGGAAAGAAAAAAAAAAAAACGACCTTGACACAATAAGTCTAATCGTTATTGTAAATATGAATTTATAAATGTTTTCTTGGGGGTTATTTATAACTGTCTTTTACTGCCTTGTTCTAGATCTGTTTGATAAGAAAAAAACATAATAGTATGTTAAAGAAAATTGGAAATGATCATCATATATCATGTCAAGACTAAGAGTCATATGTTAGAAGTTTTTATGTTAAGATTTATGAAATTTATTTTTTAAAAGAATCATACAATTTTGAATTTTAAAAGAATCATACAACTTTGAATTTTAAAAGAATCAAACAATTTTGAATTTTAAAAGAATCATACAATTTTGAATTTTAAAAGAATCATTATGTTAAATTAAGAATCACATTTAGAAAACAAATAATCATGTGTAAAGATTTTTTTAAAAAAAGAATCATTTCTTAAAATTTAAAAAAAAAAGAAAGTCATTTGTTAATTTTTTTTAAAAAAGAATCATTTAAATTTTTTAAAAAAAAGAATCATTTAAATTTTTTAAAAAAAGAATCATTTGTTAAATTTTTTAAAAGAATCATCTTATAAATTCTTTATAATAATCATCTTATAAATTCTTTAAAAACAGTCATATTTTAGATTATTTGAAACCATCATATTTTAAATTCTTTAAAACAGTCATATTTTAATTTTTTGAAACAGTTCTATTTTAAACTTTTTAAAACAGTCATATTTAAAAATTTTAAAATGGTTATTTTTAAATTTTATAAAACAGTAGGTTAATATTTTTAAAAAGAATGATTTTTACAAAATTTCTATAGGAATTGTATGTTAACAGTGTATAAAAGAAATATATGTTGGATTTTTTATAAGAATAGTTCAAATTTCACTCATTTGTTTAGCTGTTGTATCTATTTTATAATATGATCCTATTACTAATGTAAAAAGATTGAAGCTTATAATACGATCTGATACAAGACAAAACTAGACTCATAAACTCAACCGTCTCTTAATTAGAATCTATTGATCTGTAGATTCTTATTTCATATGACGACCTGAGGCTCAAGCTAAATTAAATTTTCTTTTTCTTAGTCAATTATAACGAGAGACTCTGACCGTGTTTGTTACATTCAGTCCAATCTAAGGTTACTAAGTGCTAATGTATTTAACTTTTCTGCACGAGTTCGGTCATTATTTCTGAAAAAAAAAGGCATATGAAAATACATTTCACATATAAAGGTCCCATGGTGATGGTTTTAGATAAATTGTTAGCATTCTGAAAAACACAATCGCTACTTTTCAATAGAGTATTACTAATGTCTTCCATATTTAGGGAGTTTACAGTCTCATAATATCGTTGATTTTTGTTTTCAGCTTGATCTACTTTCTAGACAAAATTAAAAATAAATTTGATTAATGAAATTGTTTGAGTGCCCTAATAATAATCCCATGAATGTTTGTATTTGCGTCCTGCGTAGACATTTGCATACACATAAAAGATCCCATGACAAAATTTCCCTCATAGCACACTATATGGTATATGCCTGTCTTCATTTGCCCAGTCGGAGCAGAACAGTAGAATGTTAAACCCTATTTCATAGTTTGTATGTGTGTTTTAATGTGACCGTGAGCCATGCTGACTTGCTAACCAGGATAGTCCCAGGTTTAATCCCAGGTGTTTCCCTTTTCAGTGGTGCAGGACGGAAATCCAGGCAAGGAAAAGCATCTAGCCATTTGGACGGGATGAAAGCCTGAGGTCCTGTGCACATATTGGTGTGCACATAAAGAAATAAGAGTAGTGCTTTTGTCTGGGCAAATTTTTCCTAATAGTACACTTCATAGCATATGCCCGACCTCATTAGCCCAGTTAGTGCAGAAAAATAGGGTGTTAAACCCCATTTCATTTCGGAATGTAGACTTTTCTCACCATATGCAGACAAGTTTCAACCATTTTGTTATGTATTGCCCAGTCACAGTGTCATCACATACTACTTGAACTTTTCGTGGGACCTGGTGACTTGAAATAGCAAAGGGCAAAGTAAGCTGGTCAAAAGTCGACCATGTAACCATGGAAATAAAAAAAAGGTTTGCCTCATAGTGATTGAAGTATTACCCCCCATTGCATTCTATTCTATTTTAGTTTCACATGTTCATTAGCCCAGCATGCGCAGAAAAATAAGATTATAAACACAATTTCATTTCTATTTTATTCGGTATCGAGTAATTGCATTACGTTGTTAAAGACAGAGATTTTTTTCTATTAACTTGTTTTGTAAGATAGAGCTGGTTAAGTGTGTCTGTCATGAATGTGAATCTATATTAACTATAATATTTGATGAAATGTTATATTTATTATATAAAGTTAATATCTGTCTAGAAAACAATCCTGCAGTTAATCTTCTTTAATGGCATTCTGGTCTTTGTTCTCCAAGTACAATGTGTAGAAAAAGTCCAGGCTTGTGGTCTAAGGGAGATAATTTATGGTGAATGTTCAGGGCCACACAATCAATTAATTTCAGTTTTTTAACTCGACATCAGTAATGTATAAATATGAGGAGATATGACTGAGAAAATAGAGATATTGATTTAATTCCTTGGTTTGAATATATAATGCATCTAATTGAAAAAGAAAAATTACCATGTAGACAGTTACAGGCTTACATAGTTTTCATAGCACAAAATATTTTACGCACAAGCGTGACCAGCTCTTGCAAAATAAATCATGTTGGAAGTCCCTTTTTTGAATCACAAACAATAAAAAAGGGAATATTTTTACAAATTTGAATTTCCAGCATATTCTTAAACAGACTAATACTTTCACAAAACATGGATGCTATATTAGTATATTTTAGTGTAGTGTTGGAGATGGCTCATTGGATTTTTAAAGCTGGCACAAGTTTTCATATTTAATATTTTATTAACATGTAATTTATTTTAGCTCTGAACATACTTCAAACTTATAAAAATAACAGAGTCTTATTTAAACTTTTAAACTGATTAGAGAAATTCTAACCTGATTAACTGGATACAGATGTTATGCATGCCAGTGATTGTATCGATGGGAAGAAATGTACTGCATGATGAGTTTAATATAATCAAGCCACTGTTAAGATTCCAGTGAAATCTGTTCTCCATTTGTTTCGTGTTTTCAGTATCATCATTTAGTTAAACATTTTTACGAAAAAGTAATGTAATTTTTTTTTTTTTCTAGGTCAATATGTCGTTTTAGACATGATCAGTCCAGTCATGATAAGAAATTATCAGTTATAATGTAAGTATAAATTTTGTTGACTTTGATTGTATAATTATACATATTTATATATACAAGTCAATGTCTTTCTGATAAGATTGAAAAGTGAGGTCACATGTGTACCATTGGGAGCACATTAAAGATACCTTGAATTTCAACTAATTTTAAGAGGCATTATTCAAGAGCTAAGTTTGCCTATTACAGGTTTTCTTTAGGCCTTAAATGTTATATAAATTATTTATTAGACATTTATTAACTTGACAAGACCATAATCAACTCTGAATGCTATCGGATGCTCGAGATTTTAACTATATTAGAACTGTTCCGCCATTTTAATGATTTAAAAATGGAAAAGTGAGGCCAAATCTCGAATGTACCAGTACTGAGGTTATGATAATAAACAATCAACGCACACATGTTGTTAAAAGTTAAAAACCTACAAACAGTGATAACTTGGCTCATAAAGTAATTTGAATGAAATTTCCAATATATATTCATTATTCATTCTCTATTTTTGAACTGTTATAGCAAGAACGGCCAGCTCTATCTAAATCTTACAGACTGTATCTTTAATGATACCTTGACATTAGGAAATTGAAATAAGAGGTTGGGTGTACATGTAGTACTGCTATCTGACAAAAACTTCCCTAATAGCTTATTATTTTCATTAGCCCGGTTCTAATTTCTAATAATCTCATTATGAATATTGCTATTTGACATATATTTAATAGTAGTCATTATATATAAACAAGGGCAATATGGGATGTTTTAGCCGATATCACCTTATGTTTGACTTCCTTTTTGTTGACGATGCCTAATTTTCTGTTACTTTTGTCGTCGTTGAAAATTCTAAAAGATATTTTTGATCATTTTTCGATGATTTTCTTTATATTTACAGACTACGTATCCAGGCATTATTGTGTTTAAAACTCTACAAGTTAAAGAAAACAGAAGCTCTTAAATTTAAGAAGATTATTGACCAACATGATCAAAACAAGGTTTGTAGGATCTTTATTTTGATTCCGGAAAATTTTATTTAAAAAAACAATATTCATGATAGTAATACTTTTTTTTTATTGTTTTCTTGCCTATTTCAGTCAAGCAAGCCATCATACGCACCGTCTCCCCATCAGGGTAGTTTTAATAATCGTAGTACAGGTATACCATCTCCCATGTCTCCTACACCATCACCAGCTGGTAGTATTGGTTCAGTCGGTTCACAGGTACAACTTTATATTAATAATATTCTATACAATTCAGTTTGACTTTTTGTTGTTGCTGAATCATTGACTCCTTGACATAGTTCCTGTATGAAAAGACCCTTGCACAGACAGCACAGCAATATTTTTCTTATTTTGCGTAATACAAATCTCATAAGAATATAATGGGTTAAATTTTAATCCATTTATAATTTATTAATGGGAGCTATTTTATGGCTGGTTGTCATATCCTCTATATATCTGCTTATATCAACACACCCTGGTAACAATAGAATATAGCAGTGCTCACGCTGTCGATAGCCATTTGCGCAAATAGCGCTAAGGATGTGATTAAGCAATAAATTTAAGATCTGCAGCCCGGGAAATAATAATGCACTATGAAACTAGTACCTTACAGTTTGAACTATGCCAGACGTGTATTACAAATATTATTAAAAATACTGATAAAAAGACAAAGCTGTGACAGTAAAAATGGCAGGCAGCAGATGGATTGTGTCTGACAAGATCTAAATTTGTGTGTGACTATATCTGTGACAAGAGACTTATTTCTCTAGACTTGATAATTTTTCTTACCTGTGGCAATAATGGAGAATAGAGTTTAAAGATACATTATTGAAAACTATCTAGAAACATATATATTTGATATTGGGGCGTGTGTACAATACTTCTAAATCTATTAATATTAATTTCTGTTTTTCAGGGAAGTTGTGAATTATCAACTGGTAAAGTAACCAATGGTACATCATCTTTAAATACTGGTTCTACTCCTATGGCTTCTCCTGGTTCAGTTAGCATACCACAGAGAATTTACTCAGTACAACAGCAGTATTTTAATATCAGTAGTTTCCTTGTTAATGCCATGGAATATTGGGATCAAGCTGATCAAGCTGCTGCAGAAAATAGAGGTAAATAGAATACATCCCAGAATTGTTCACCTTTCTTTGGGAAAAGGATGTCTGATTTAGGAGTATCGTATTTCATGGGGTACAAGTCGAATCGCCATATTTTACTGTTTTTCAGACCTTAGATAAGTCAAAGCAGTGTATAAGACAGATGTTTTTCAACTCCATGCTAGCAATCTTTTATTAAGCTTCGGGACTGTTATCATAGTCTAATACTTGCCAATGTACACAAAGAAATGGTGGACCATAATATTAATTAATGTAAAATAACTAGTTGCTAAATGTTGTTCCTGGTTCATTTGAACTAGCTTTTATTTCAATATATCAGAAACAAAATAGACACATACAGGCTATGTTTCTAATCAGATGTGGTAATAATACCATTAATGTTACTAAAAATAGAATAAAATAATTAAAAATTGGTTAATTTAACTGAAAGTAGAAATCTTGCGAGACACTTGAAATTACAAGAGATGGAATTGTGAACATTTTGAATATAGCAATGTCGTTGAAAAGGAGAAAAGATTATATTTTGATGCCATTTTCTAGGGTTTATGATTATATTTTGAATTGGGGTTATGTTTTTAAATAAAGAAATAAACAAGCTAAAAAATATTTAGAAATTTTGATTAATACATCAATTGGAATAGTGTAAGTAGTTATGATTCAGATGATATTAATTAGCAGACGATGTCACTCGGCATTGTGGAGCGTCGGTTAGCCTAATGACAAAATGTTTGGGGTGGATATCATCAGGTTTTTTTTTTTCTACCTTCATCCATGTTGAAGCGGAGAGTAAGAGGAAGGCTGAACTACCGTGGAAAAAAGTGTAGACTTGTAGCCCGAAAAATATTGTGGTTATGTTCAGGAAAGATACTATGGCTGTCATCAATGCAATCTAAATCATTGCTTTTCCATATTAGCTGAATCCATTCCTGAGACAGGTTAATCCTATTTACATGAAAACATAATTGTAATATTTTACTTGTCAGTTGGTAACTGTACAAATTTAAACTGGTAAAAAGAGCAACCAATTGTTAATGATGAATAACATGTTTGTGGAGTCCATATTTGGAGTGGGTGCAGAGAGCAGATATTTTCATATACCCATTTAGCAGCCAAAAGGGTTAAAGGTAGATTATTCTAAAGACCAACTCGAACCTTAATCCTAATCCAGGATTCCTTACAAATGAAATTACTTCCTGACAGATCTGAACACATCACCATTTGATAGCAATACACAGTCCTAGTTATCTTTGTGTTTCAAATATTTTAATTTCAGATTAACTGTGACATATTTTCATTAATTCCATTATTTTTTCTCCTATTTTCAGCATTTTTTGATCATCTAGATAAAGTTGTTGGACCATTGATGTTTACACACTCTGGATTTCAACAACTAGTAACTTACGTAGAGAAAGGTTTACAGTTTTTGAGAGATACGTGACGTTAGGCCCCCCATTCCCTCCCTTCCCCCACCACCAACTTGAGACCCTTATCTTCCTTGTGAAAAAATAGTGCTGTAGATGACTAACATTATAGGCAGCATTGATTTATTTTGAACTGGTCGACGTCACGGAGACTTTATTTGTAGATGCTGGTGGTTAAAACTGTTTGATAACGACGTGAGATATATAATGTCCATTTTGAGACCATCATTTTGAGATTTGGAATAATTCAAATTCCTAATTGATATGAGAATTGATGTGATACAGCAACAAGAGACTGTTTTTAGGAGAAATGTTTGTTGGAGGGACGAGATCTTAATAATCAGATCTTATTCATGTTTATGAGAACATTTCCGAGACAAGTTAACCAAACCAATCTGTGAGACCAGTTCAGCAAGGCAATTTGTGAGACTAGTTAAATGAACTAGAATGTGAGGCCAGATCAGCAATTTGTGTGGCTGTTTAAATGGACCAATTTGTGAGACAAGTTTAGTGAACCAGAATGTGAGACTAGTTATATGAACCAGTTCGAAACTAGTTGAGTGAGCCAGTCTGTGAGACCAGTGAAATGAACCAATCTTTGTGACTAGTTCAGTGTACCAGTTTCGTGAGATCCGTTTGTCCTGGGAATATGTACAGCGACGAACCAATCTGTGGAATCGGTCAAAAGGCTTGATTTGGGAGACGAGTTCCGATAGTTATGAGACCAGGTGAACTAAAATCTTTACAGAAACGAGATGAAAGGTTGTATTGGTGTCAGATTGGATTCTCTTTGAATCCAAAGATAACGTTCCAGTGAAATAAAAACCAGCGGTTGCTATGAACGAGAGAAAAAGAAAGGATTAATGTCAAGTGTTCGATTGAAAATTGTGAATAAGTATAGCTTTATTGTTGAGAGGAGGAGTGAAACGGTTTACATTGTTTTTTGTGCATTAAGTTAATTATTATTATTATTATTATTATTATTATATCATGGCAGTTGCCATGGCAGTAAAGTGCAACAGAATTTATGCCATATATCTGGTGACCTTAAAGGTCAAATATTGACCTTGACTATTCATTTTTGTGCTTATATTTATTGATTGTCCCGACAAAAGGTCACATGTGACTATATATATTGATCTGTGTTTTATTTTGAAACAGAAAGGAAAGTGATGTGTTTATTTGTGTGTGTCTTAAATTTCAAAAAGGCTCATAGGCCTTTCAGTGTCTTAGAGAAAGTGAATATAAGTTGAGTTGTCTGGGTGCCTTTTTGTCATGAATCGCTTACAGAAGTCGGAGTTCAAATTTACAAAAATTCATAAGAACATTTATCGCAAATACTCAAGATATCTAGATTTATCAATCAACAATTTTAATGTCATTAAAAGTGAGAATGAATCCAGTCTGCGCCATGTTAAATCATGTGACTATGATCCATATTTATCAAATATCATCCAGGCGCATAACAACATATCATGTCTTCCATCTTATGTTACCATGGTTACACATTTTTCCTGCCAAACCCAGTGTTACTTTTACTTGCTGAGATTTCTAGTATTACGTCTGGACTGTTGAAGCACGCCACAAATCCTCTTGTCTCTTATCGTCCAGACTTAAAGACAGTGATTATCTGTATCAAGGGTCTGGTCGAGTGAGACTGCAAATTCTCATCAGATGGCTATAGACATGCATAACCAGTGAGAGTTGATACAGGAGAACTATTTATTATATTATATTATATTATATTATATTATATTATATTATGATTGTTATTTATATTTCAAAAGACCAGAATTCTAGTTTGAAAATAAACCACCAGAAACAAGCCATTTCATTGGTTCATCTGGATACTCTGATCTCAGTAACCAGAAGGAAGTTCTGTATTTTCTATGATATTTTGTAAACAATGCTGATATTTAAGGAAGGGGTTAATTTATATATTATTTTTTTTAGTGAGTTACGAAAAATTACCTCATAGTATGGGGTTATAGTATAAATAGCCAGACCCCTTCCCCCCCAAAAAAAGGGTCCGTTGTTTGACAATCATGACTCATTCATGTTGACCAATGAATTTCCAGGGTTATATTTAGGGTCATCCAGTTTTTGAATGACTTGGAGGGCGAAAGGAGGTCATTTTACACCAAAAGTATTCATTAAATATTTTTAATAGGTTTACTACAAATGTCTGTGAATTCTAACACACGTTTGAATAATATGCGAAGTCAATGGAATCTTTCTTTAATTTTTGTCAGAATTCACAGAAATCTGCATGTAAAATTGAATAGCATTTTGTTTGAACTTAATTGAAATAGTTTTAAAGATGGATGAATTGAATTTATATATTTGATAAAATGATTAATTTTAAACCTAAAATCTCATTATTAATAGTAAAATCTGATAAATATCAAATGATTTTACTTGTTAATTAATTACTGGATGCAAAAGTCTTGTAGACTTGATCAAAAGTGCTTTCTATTGTTTTATTGTAGTGCTTAGCTGATGTGACAGCTGTTTAAGATATTTGTCTACTTTTGATTTAGTGATTACCATATATTTCCTGTCAGTGGATGGGTCAATGCCACAGGTACAAGCAGTATGTGCGTTACAGCTTAAGGCTCCTCTACCAATTTTTACATAAATCTTTCATAAATCCAAACATTGGCCATCTTAATAATATGAGAAATTGAGTTATGCGATAAATCTGAATTTAAAAAAAAATGTATTTTGATGAAATCATACATTCCTGTTTGTCCCCTTTTCTCTCCAACCACAGACAAATCTAGAAGAAAAAAAAATTCTGTGAGATGATAGGAATACATGTATCTCGGTCGTTTTACGAAAATTTATTTTTCGGCATTTAAGTCTACCATGCAGATAAATTTTAAGTCTTGAACTAACATTACTTCTCTGAGACATGAACCATTAATTTTCTGTTATAAGGAGTGTTTTATTTCCTTACATTGTTTAATTATAAGCCTATGTGTATTTAGATTTGACAAAACCCTTATAAAGAATGAACTGTAAGGTTATTATTATAGACTGGTTATTTTGTAGGTGGAAATTACTTGTTTTAGATAATGAATCAAATTGTAATCAAAGTAATGTCTGATTTAAACATACTGAACAAATGTTGTACTAGTACATTGTAGTTTTAATTTTTATTGGTTTCAAATTAATATTCAAAACAAAAAAAAATTGGGGGGGGGGGGGAGAGAGAATTAAAATATCAATGCCAATAAAATAATAAAAAGAAAAAAAAATGTTGGGGTAAAGTAATAAGATATATGTAACAATAAGCTGTTGACTTCAGCTGTATTCTGATTTTATATTAGAATTTTAGCTACTTTAGGGCAGGTTCTCTAGGATTAAATGTTTTTCTCTTTTTTAATAGAAGTTCGAACCCACCTGTAATACATATTGTCAGGTGCGGTACATGTATTAATTCAGACCGTGTCAGGAACAAATCCCTGGTGTCTGCCATTTTCAGGCACAGAATTGTCTATTTTCTGTGTTTTTATTAATCTTTCTTTAATTAAATTAAAATAGAATTATTTACAAAATTAAACATGTCAGGTACAACTTAGATTTTATCAGATACAATAACAGTCATTATTTCCAGGGTTTTCTTTTCATTTCTTCTGCTAAAACTTATATTTCCTACTTATACAGGTATTTAATATACTTTTTTTTAAAAAAAAGTAACGATTTAATCCATTAAATAACAGATTTATACAAATTGACATTTTAGTTTTTTGCTCAAATCCAGTTCTATCCTGCAAGATTCAATTAAGTAGAAGCGATATCATAATCCCACATTTTTGTTTTATTCATTTATTTGGGGTTTCTAAATAGTATGCAAGTAATAAATTACTAATGCTATTTGTTATTTTTAGAAAGGTAACAAAACATAGATTTGAGATGTATGAATATTCAGTGACTACCTCACTTCTTTTATATAGTATTTGTGCTTGATTGTCAAAAAAAGCCAAAAGACCTACATTTTTGCTAAAAAAAAACCCCAAAAATTGTAACCCTGACAACTTATATTTTGAAAAATAATGTAGATATGCATGAATGATTTTTACTTAGCACTTCTATGTTAAATTACCTTTCTAAATTTATTTTATGATGATGCAAATGTTCTTGAATTGCTTGTTCCATTTGGACACATCCCTCCCCCCAAAAAAAATGACTACAAAAAGAAATGGACATGGCGATGTTAGTGTTTGCTCCTTTCATTTCAACCTCAAATGTTGATCAAAATATTAATAGTTTTGATGTATGTAAATTTTGTCAACTTATGTCATTCTAATATCATTATGGGTTTTATTTTTGAGATTGATAAATTAAATTTTAGTATTTGAGATTATCATGGCCTCATTAAAATTGTTTCAAAAGCCAGTAAACCATCAAAATGTCTTATTTTACGTTAGTGATATTGATTTGTGGAAATATTTTTGTTTAAATCTAATATTATTTATAAATAAGTTAATTGAACAAATGTTGATCTTGTTTGAGATGATGTGTAAGATATAAATTAAATGTAGATACAAATTCAGTTGATTTTTAAGATATTTGCCTACATTGAAATACATGTATAATTGTATATAGTCGTCTCCCCTGTCTGTCGTCCACCACACTCCACAAACTACATTCATCATCTGATTTTAACAAATTTATGTTGTTTACATTAATGATAACTACCATACTTATTGCCGTTGGATGCTTTGAAAAACTTATGAATGCTATTTCAAAAGTCATCATATGATCAACTTTAAGTTTATATTCTTTATTTTGATTACTGCAATGAATAACAATTGTAACAGTTTCTGATTTTTAATGCCCCTGACTATGTAATATAATTTTCTATTTGTTTATCTGAAGATTCACAATGCCACAACCTTTCTAGACTTCCCAGACAACTTAGCTGCTGTGGGCCTATGTTTCATTGCCTGGCAACCTATATAAGTAATAGCAACCATTTGTTTGTGTGCCCAGTGACCACACTAAGTGTTAAATGATCAAGACCAATCTGTACTTAGAAAAAAAGAAAACAAATCATTCTAAATTTTGTCTACTTTTACTTTAGCGTACTGTAGATTAAAAGAAGGGTAAGTAAATAAAGGAAGTGTAAGAGTCATGTAATATATATATATATAAATATAGAATCTAGTTTATTTATTTTAATCTCAAAAGTCTCGATTTGTCCAGTCCTGTTTTATTTTATTATAAACCATTGGAAAAGGTTATCCAGTGAAAGTGTCTTGACAATAATACTAATATATGATTTAATTATTCTATTTAATAAATAAAGTGACAATACTGGATGTTGATTACTACTGTTGATAAAGACTGGATAAAAGAGAGTGGTTTATATGTTGGGGCCATGTTCAATAGTGCATTACTTGACTGGTGTAATGTCCATTAACTTGATTTATCATAGGTTTGATATCAGAGAAAACTAACTTTATGTAGTTCGGTTTCAATTCAACTGTCACCCAATTAATTAAAGGAGCAGGGTGTGCATAGGGTGACTTTGCTTACCCCTGTCATTGCTAGTTGCTATGGTTACCAGCCCTTTGTGCCCATTTCTGTTATGGGATAATGATCATAATACTGGGTCATCAGTAAAGTTTAAGCAGTGATGTCCCATTGCTATGCTAATAATAAAATGGGTCCTGGTCATCAAGTCATGTGGAAAGTTTATGTAGTGTGTTACGACCTGATGACTGGGTATCGATGTGTTTTATTCCTTTATGATGTTTATTGTGTGATGACAGAACTTACAGAATTCTGGCCGTATTGAACATGGTCCTGTAATAATATATGTATGTATAAAATAAGTGCATTATAATCTCTCTATGAGCTTGTAAAGATAGCAGGCAATATATATTATTATTATTATCTTATATTAAATATTATTTGTGTATGTATATTGTAAATAGATGTTGACATGCATTTTATGAAATAATGAAATTAAGCAAGTAATTTGACTTTGGGTTATTTTTTGAGAATTTTTCAAGGGGATCATGGGTTAACGCCATGGTTACAACTGAGGGTTCGGTAGTAGTTGAGGAGCCTGGCACTGGACTCTAGAATAGAATGTCCCTGATTTGATCCTGGTTTATGTTGAGAAGAACCTTGGGATTTGTCGAGCTTGATCCTCACTTTTCAGGGGCGTCGCGGACTGGACCGACAATAACATGCGTCTAGTCTTTGGTATAGCATCCTATCTATAGTGATAGAAAAAAACTGTGTGCACATCGGTATGGATGAAAATAAACCCTTGATAATTCTGCCCAGGCTAAATGCTCAACAGAAGCATTGCACAGTCCAATACTTTGCATTTTATATGGACATCATTGAAATTAACACTGTATAAATCAGATAACTTTAGCATCTAAGAGGGTCTACAAGGAATTGTGGACGACAAGACAGGGATAACGACAAAATTGTTTGGGGATTTTCTATTTGCTGTATCAAACTATATAATGATTTGGGGGGATGTTCAAATTAGTATAACAGGCTCTCCATCAGCTGGAACTCATGGTCATCTTTCTCGACCAACACTTGGACCACCAGGGGGATTGGATGGCCGAATGGTAGCGCGTTGTATCATAAGGTCTGTCATTCAGTTAACTGGCGTGGTTTTGGTTCCCCAGTTGTACGTGACTTTGTGGGTTTTCTCCGGTTCCTTCCACTGCTGAAGACCCCTATGTGCAAGCAAATTACTGAAATAAAATTGAACCATATGTTAGTCCCAAAATGACCAAGTTTGTGTCGAGTGGTCATTAAACCCCATTTCTCTTTCTCTCTCACTTGGACCACCTGGCTAGTGTGCAAGCACCTTTCTCATCAGGCCACTGTTGCATCCATAATATAAGAGAAATACTAAAAACATGCATTTATATAGATACTTCTGAATCAGATGTTTTTCAAGCAACTCTCATTGGTACTCCCCAAAAAAAAAAATGCCATGGAGTAATCCACATTATTCATGGAAACGTCCACAGAAAACCCAGTTCTGTTTGTCAGGAAATATTTTTCGGTGTTCACTGGTCACCCCCAGGATGTAAACAACAAAATTCAGACAAGTTTTACACAGTTCATTCTAGCAAAATGTTTCGGTTTTTATCAGTTTTATGTAAATGGCCTACTTTTCTGCACCAACTGGGATAATGAAGATGGGCATACGCCATACAGTGTGCTATGAGGGAAATGTGCTACAGTCTACTCTTATTTCAAATTCCAATGTGTACACAGGACCTTGGTTTTTCGTCCCATCCAAATGACTGTACATTGTCCCCTGCCAGGCACTTCGTCCTACATCACTGACATGGGGGAACCACACCTGAATATCCGGATGAACTTTCTTCTTCCATGCAGGGATCTAACACAGGACCTCCAGGTAAACTTCTGTTTTACAGCCCACAAGATAAAACATGTACACATTTAGACTTACATCCTATTTTACTTGTCCGGAGGGTTCGAAAATATTTTTAAATCGAAGTTTCATTTGAAAAGGTTTACGTTAGACGTTTCAAACCATTCATGTTGAATTTTTCAAAATTTTTAAATAAGGTGTGTTAAGATGAAATTTGTATCATCAATTAATTGAAATAGTCTAAAATAGTACAATTTGTTGACCAGAATAAAGATTGGGACATATTATTCAGTTACAACAAGAGTGGTATTGAGCCTTTAAACTGAGATCATTAGATAAACCTGATCAATAAATTCTGATTTCATTCAATAAAAATTTCTCTCTGGACACTTTTCTCTGTAAAGATGGTATGTAGACAGGGACTTATTCTTGGAAATCTATAGACTCTTGCTAACACATTTTTCTACAAAAGCCAACAAAATACTATACTATATCACCACGTCTGATCATTACTATATGACGCCCTGTATATGATCATATTTTTTCCTGTACCTTAAATATATTTAGACTTAAACAGAATGTTTTCTGGAATAAAGAAGTTTCTGTTCCATTCTTTTAATGAACATTATGATACATAATATATATAAGTATATACAAAACATTTTCTAAAAAAAACCAGAAATGTAAATGCACACATGCTGTATGTCAATAAACAAGTAAACTGAAATAAATTTAACACATTCCCTCCTAAAACAATATTATAAACTCTGTTATATTATTTCCTGATAAATTGTCCTTAAAAGTCACTGATGTCACATTTGTTGGATAATATAAAAAATTTCAGATTAATACAATTTAATTATTTCTTTATTATTTAACATTTAATTATAAAAAAAAAAATATATCAATGCTGTGTATAAGGTAGATGGGCTATTTCATCACATTGACATACTTAAACCATCTTTCATTTAGGTGTCCTGTGAAGTCTGGAACTGTCCTTTTAATACTAAGTCACAGATAAAGAAAACACATATTAAATATTTAATACATGGGATGCCAGCGGTATATTATGTAAACAGTCAAGTCAAAGATAAACAAAACCCATATTAAATATTTAATACATGGGATGCCAGCGGTATATTATGTAAACAGTCAAAATACAGAAATCTGACCAATTATTGACTCAATTTTGATTGGGTTACAAAATAACTTTTTTCTGTTATCTTGGTTTTGATCCACTATATCCTATTCAAAATGATCATTCTCTTATAATGTTGATCTATTAAAGATACATTATAAAAGATATAAATAAATAGATTACTTTATTCTGAAATTTATTATTGTAGCAACATTACTTGTAAATCAAGACTCAGCCTCGCTTCTCCATTTTAAAATTAAATCATTAAATGGCGATGATCTAGAGAGTTGATTATAGGCTTGGCATGTGAATAAATGACTAAATAAACATTTATATAACATTTGAAGCCAAAATAGAAACCTGTAATAGGCAGATTTAGCTCTTACATAATGTATCTTTAAAGTTACAGATTGGGTATTATAATGGTGACCATGGTCAGACTATTTACATACATCTCTGAGTGTAAGAACTGATAATCGTGATAACATACATGATCAGTAAATATGTCAGCATAATAATACTTCCTAGGAATGAAACAGGTACCTGATACTATTAATATATTTTATGACATTTGAGCACAACAATTTGTAATATATTATAATGAGAAAATAAGGTTTAACATCCTAGCGTTCTGCTCCGACTGGGCTAATGAAGACAGGCATGCACCAAGCGGTGTGCTATGAAAGAAATTTTGTCTGGATAGTGGCACTACAGCCTACTCTTATTTCAAATTCCAACTGTCATGGGGTTTATTACGTTGTGCATGACAATGTGTTTAATGGACCTGCACCACCGACAAGGGGAAGCAATGCTGGAAAATCCAAGGGAACTTTCTCGGCCAACATCGGAATCAATCCCTGGATCTTCTGGTTAGTGAGCTAGCGTCTTACTAACTGAGCCTCAGTGGCTCCTGTGATACATAGGGCACAATAATGTAAGTATATCGTTACTAAAGTATCCTGGTTGCAAACATCACTCAGTAATACACAACAATTGTATAACAAAGATAGAGAAATGGGGTCTAACATCCACTTGACACAAACCGAAGGACCTGGAGAAAACCCACGCGATCGGACAGGCAACGCTTCTGTATGACAAAAATTGTGAGCTGTGTATTTTCAGTTCTATTACTACATTCAATTGGAACCATTTTATCAATTTGTTACAAAAAAATATTTCAAATCAATCATCATTACGTAGAATCCAGTTTAGTTTTCTCTGCAAATTGCTGACTTAATAACTGCATGATATCTTTATGCTTAAAGTCTGTATTTCCTTTCTTTGCACTTCCATAATTCTCCTTTACGAACATAGCAAATCTATTTGGTGTCCGTGGTGTACCTTTCTTAGATCCAGGTGTATCTGCTAACTGAAATGTTCCGTGACAATATCCACACAGTTTTCTGTTTGTATCCAACGATTTAGAATGGCGACCAATCCTGTAATTATAAAACATGCAAACTTTTCTTAAACCAATTATTGACAACATACATATATATCTATGTATCTCACATAATCTTTATGTAGCATTTAGAAATTGAGAAACACATTAACAGAACATAATTATTTTTATAGGAAACAATCACTGGTTTATTATATGAGCATGACGTTGCAACAAGTATCCTCTTGCTGTCCCACTTTTCTGCAACAACTGGGCTAATGAAGACAGTGCCATGTTGTGTGCTATGAAGGAAATTTTTCCTGGTTTCCTGGACATTTTCGAATTCCAATGCCAAGGGTTCTTTTACGTTCACACTAACATCAACTCAGTTGTTCATAACATCCAGACAACCAAACGGAGGGTAAACCAGGAGTATGCCCACCTTCATTAGTCCAGTTGTTTCAGAATACCTTTTTATTTCATAACAGATATTAATACTTACTGATAACCACACTGTGTACAAACATAGGTATATTTAGTTGTTATACTGTAATCATGACATCGACTTATAATAGGTAAATATGGATGACTCACATTAGCTTTACGAGCCCTGAAAAACAATAATCACATTAATACTGTAATGTAATTTGATGTCAGTAACATGTCTATTGAAACCAAATGACATGTATACATGATGTTAGAACCACATCTGTGATACCTCCATATTTAAACTAGTGTCTACTGATAATTCTTCTAGTTTGTTCTGATTGGAGATAGAATCTTGGGTTGGATGGCCAAGTGGTTTAATGAATATGCTTATGATCATAAGGTCTGTCAATGAGTCAAGGTTTGTACATGTCAGGGAGTAGGCCTGTCTTCCTATAATCATGGGTTTTCTCTGGGTCCTTCGGTTTATTGAAATAATAAAATATGTTAGTCCTGAAATGAGCAGGTTTGTGCTGAGTGGACATTATATCCCATTTCTTCCAGAATACTAAACCTGAGATAAATACATAATAAAATACATCATTTCTCTAGTCTTTCATTTCTGAAGTTAAAGTAATATTACAATAGATAAGATCATACCAGTATTTCCAGTAAGGTCCATGTCCATCAGTTTGTTTATTTAACATCCAGACGGCTGCATGACAGAGTTCGTGTATTAATGTATCTCTAACACGTTCTATAAATAACAATAAAAAAAGTATTCTATTAGGTCAATATTTTATCATTCATGAACGACAGGACTGAGATGGAGAACTCAAGATTTAAATCAATTATACACTGTAGAAGGTATTAATATTTGGGCCCCTTTGACTTAAATTAAAGAGGTTTAGCTCCCTTAAATCAAAAACAGGTTACATCTCAAAAATAAGAAGCAGTCATATTTCTAAAGCAGGTTTAAATGGGGTTTTATGTCCTACTTTTCTGCACCAACTGGGCTAATGAATCCAGGCAAGACTGGGAGCAAAACCTGAGGCATTCAGTAAGCCATAGCAGCTTGTCACTACTAATTGTAATATATAATATAGACAACTTCAATATACATGAAATGAAATGGAGTTTAACGACGCTGTTCTGCTCCAGCTGGGCTAATGAAGAAGTGCATATGCCATACAGTGTGCTATGAGAGAAACTTTGCCAGGGCAGCGGCAGTATGGCCTAGTGGTCAAATTCCAACCGCCAAGGGATCTTTTATATGCACGACAATGTATACACAGGACCTCTGTTTTCTATCCCATCCGAACGACTAGACAGCTGTCCTTGTCAGGCCCTCCGTTCTGCACCACTGACAAGGGAAAACCATGTCGGAACTTTCTCGGCCAATGCAGGGATCGAACACGCGCCCCCAAGGCTAGCCAGCAAGTGTCTTACCCATTTAGCCACTGTGGCTCCAAGCTTAAATATAATGTGAAAGTAATTGTACGAACCTGGTGTATCACAAACTTTAGTAGATAACTCTATTCTAGATACATGTTGACCATTAACACGTTTATATGCACAATATCCTGCTGTACGTAATAATCTCTTATTCCATATAATACTTAAATCTTCTGGTAACTACAAAAAAATATATACATATATCACTCCCACTAAGTAAATTTTAACTGAATTTTTTTTTTTACCGTACACAACAAATTTACAGGGTTGTTGCTCATGACTAATGCAAGTTCAGTTCTTGTCTGATTTTCAGTTAGTACAAATAGTTAGTATGGGGCTTAAGATCAAAACCTTTTGTGTGTGAGAAAAAAAAAAAAAAAAAACTGGGGAAAAATCAAGAGATTCAGAGTCTCATTAAAGACCAATCTGATTAAAACACAGATACTATTTCCTTTCCAAATGTTGTTTTACTTGCCTTCACTACAACACTAGGATCTGGTACAGTTGTTATGATGTGAGGGATTAGCCAGTGAAGCATTCTGTTGTGGCGAGTTTTTGGCGTGCGATGCACGGAACTGTGGATAGATATTCGCAGCAAAGACAATATCCACCCCGATTGGTTAATCAAATGTCTGATGTCATAGGATCAAAAGCCACTCACACTACAACTTGTCAGATCTTCATGTAGTGGAGTCCATCAAAAGTATTAAAGATAGGTTGCCAGGCAACGAAACATACGTCCACAGCAGCTATATCGTCTGGGCAGTCAACAAGAGTTGTCGCATATTTTTACTTTTTTCGGTAATGAAACATTTATAATACATTAAGATCTGATTAAGAGTAACAACTCATTAAGTAATTATCAGAAAACCATTAGAATTTGTTTGGTTTTTATAAAGTTCTGCCCCATGCTAACGTTTAGTATAAGAAACTTTTAACATCATGGATTTAGCTGTTCAAGTCAAAAAGATTCATTGAAAATCAATATACTTGTTCATCTCAAGACCTCAAACTCTGTGTATCAATCTGAAGTCAATCGGATGATAACTTTAGCCTCTAGAGTGTCACAAGACTTTTCAAAGTGATCAAGGGCCATAACTTTGGCAGTAATTATCCAAAATCGTTGAAAATCAATATGATTCTTCATCTCATGGCCTCAAACACTGTGTATAAATCTAAAGTCAATCGGATATTAACTTTAGCCTCTAGAGCGTCCACAAGATTTTTCAAAGTGATCAAGGGCCATAACTTTGGCAGTAATAATCCAAAATCGTTGAAAATCAATATGATTCTTCATCTCATGGCCTCAAACACTGTGTATAAATCTACAGTCAACCGGATATTAAATTTAGCCTCTAGAGTATCCACAAGATTTTTCAAAGTGATCAAGGGCCATAACTTTGGCAGTAATTATCCAAAATCGTTGAAAATCCATATGATTCTTCATCTCATGACCTTAAACACTGACGTGTATAAATTTAAAGTCAATCGGATATTAAATTTAGCCTCTAGAGCGTCCACAAGATTTTTCAAAGTGATAAAGGGCCATAACTCTGGCAGTATTTATCGGAAATTGCTTAAAATCAATAGGCTTCTTTGTCTCAGGACCTTAAACACTGTGTATAAATTGAAAGTCAATCGGATATTAACTTTAGCCTCTAGAGCGTCCACAAGATTTTTTGAAGTGATCAAGGGCCATAACTCTGGCAGTAATTATCGAAAATCGCTGAAAATCAATAGGCTTCTTCGTCTCATGACCTTAAACATTGTGTATAAATTTAAAGTCAATCAGATAGCCTATAGAGCGTCCACAAGCAATTGGACGGACGGATGGACGGACGAGGGCGACAACAAAACGAAATATAGATCAGATTGCATATGTTACCCAACCTGGCAAACTATTTTTTAATAATACCCCAGAAGGTCTAGGTGATGATCATGTGCGAAAGCAGTAAACGGCTAACCATACCTTTAAATCAAAAACTGTTTCATTATATATTTTATATAAAACTGCCGTTAATTCTTCATATGTCTTTTTAAATTGTTTAGTGTACCTGTAAATATAGAAAACAGAAGACTGACTTAAAAAATAAAAATACACAGAAAGAATTCAGAAAAGAGATGTGGAACTCTAGTAATCAAGCAAGATATTGTCAACTGCCTTACACCCTATTAACAGAACATTTGGGTACTACCATATTTTCCACCCTAAAAGCCCATGTGGCTAATCTGTCCCAGTTTCATTTTCAGAGCATATCTCATAAACCACTCAATATATCTGCCACTCTTTACACACATCAACCTGTTAAAGTATTTGTATCTTTTGCTAATTTCTCTATCTAGTTTGGCTTGTCTGCAGGTTTGTCTTGTCAGGTTTGTTTTGCATGTTGTGTGGTCTTCCTGCACTTACTATTAAAGATGCAATGTGCAAGAGCTAAATCTGCCTGTTGCAGATCTTTTTTCAATTATTTAGACATTTATGACAAACTCAGACAAACCCATAATCAACTCTCTACAGAGTCTACACCATCGGATGGATGGGATATTAAATGGATTAGACCAGTTGCACCATTTATCGGTTATAGTTCAAATGGACATCTCAAATAAAGGGCTGAGAATTGAAACTTTGTTCATTATCATGGTAATGGTACTTGACAATTGGCTATTTCTTGTCAAAATAACCATAACTTTGCTCAGAATAATGTAATTTGATTAAAATTTCAATATATTCATTTTTCATTATCTATTTTTGAATTATAATAGCAAGAATGGACATTTGAACTGTTACAGTTCTTTATCTAAATCCTACATAATGCATCTTTAATCATTTTTGTGTTTCCATTGAAATAAAATTTGTCTTAGTTTTGGGAATACAAGGACAAGGATGACCGATTCTTTTTGTTTCAATATTTGATTTGCATGCAGCCCAATGTTTCAGTGAGAAGAAAGCTATTATAGGGTGTACCAACTCATCAGATCATCCAGTCACTCAATCCCAATAAATAAACTAGGTACCTGATAGAGTCTGGATGTCGTTTATGATCTGGTATATCTGTTGATAATGAGCGTATAAAACTGTATGGTTTACTATTTGATTCGGATGTTGATCTAACAGATGACTTCTTCTCTGACAGAGTTTTTAATACAGATCTGTCGGTTATAGTGGGTCTATGTGGTGTTTTAAATACATCAGTACCATCTGAAAATAACATATATAGTTGGAAATCACAGGTAATCAGGGACGAAGTGGGGCTAACTAAAAATGCCATAACTAGCGCCGCTCAGCTTTAGAACAGCGCTGCAGGATCACAGGCTGGCGGCAACTCTCATCCCCAAGTATCAACACTTTAATCTAAACAATTAGTTGTCAAATCTCTGTACAACCCCAGTAAGCGAGCTACCGACCTCAGTAATAAATTCACAAATCCTGCCAAGAGGCTAACCCTGGTAACCCCGCCAATTTGTAACGATGGAAACACCCACTGGGGTTTCGGAATAGTATAAATAAAAAAGCCTGCCACGTGAGTCCAATCAGTCTGAAGAGTTCAATATTAATGAAGACGGACATATGTATTACAGTGTGCTATGAGGGAAAATTTGCCAGGAAGGTAAAGGAATTCAAACTGTCAAGGGGTCTTTTACGTGTATGCCAAGGTGTACATGAGACCGTTTTTTTTGGTCCCATCTGAACAACTAGCTCCTGTTACTTGCCAGCTTTCCATTAGTTTATATAAATTACCTGCTGTAGAGTATAAAGTTATATATAAGTATAAAGTATTACCTGAGACAGGTGTAATTGGTGGAGGTCGTGATATGGAACTTGTTAGTTTTACTCGTTGACTAAGTGGTGTATTAATATCTACTATAGCTGATTTAACCGATCTTGACACAGGACTGCACAAAAATACAAATATTCAAATTATACAGCATCAAATATTCAAATTATACAGCATCAAATATTCTACTTTCTGTGATAATGTTAGATTCTAAGCATGTTTTGTGAATAACATTAAGTCTAATTTACATTCTAAGTATATCTTCTGAAGAAAATACATGACGATTATCTATATCTATAGTGGAAAATGTACAAATAGCCACTCATCAGCCTGCTCTTCATGGAATTTTGTACTCACAAGCCCAGTTTTTATTGTAATTCCTTGTATAAAACTGTGTCTACCCATATAACTAACATGTTCTATTTTACCTGATTAAAGTACAGCCTTTATTTCTGGGTGATTGAGTAGAAATATAGAATATTTCATCATCATCTGAACCACTACTAATACTTATATCATCATCTACTATAAAATCTTTTAAACTGTAATATATAAATCATTATATACTATTCAAAAAAAGTAGGGGATATTTGATTTTGGGGGCATAATACTAAAATATGCAAATGACTACGAAAAAAGTCACTATAGAACCTAACAGAAGAAACATTTCCAGTTACATGTGACGCCCAAACGCACCAATAGCTACCGCATGGAATGCAGGTGATGCTTGGGATCATCATGGGGGTCCAACCCAAGATTTGCACGACTCTGACTTTGAATGTTACAGTCATTGTGGCATTGAATTCCAGAGTGGAAACATCAGTTTAATTGTTTTAGTGACCAGAAAACAAATTTTGATATGCGTCGGCTTACCCAAAATGAAAGGTTACGTGCCCTTGGCATGCTACAGATCGGCACAACACAGGCGGTTGTGGCGCGGACGATGAATGTTTCTCAGTCTGTCATAAGCAGGCTATGGTCCAGATACCGTGATACACAATCTGTACAGGACAGACCACGCTCAGGTCGACCAAGGGCGACAACTCAAGCCCAGGATCGATTTATCCGTACCTTGGCCTTGAGAAATCGTGTCATCACAGCAAATCAGATCAGCGCTCGTCTTCAAACAGACACTGGTGTGAGAGTGAGTGGCCAGACGATTCGGAATCGACTGCATAGGGGTCACCTTCGCGCCCGACGTCCTCGCGTGATCCCTTGTTTGAGAGATCATCACATTCAGGCAAGACGTCGTTGGTGTAGGGATTGTCAACACTGGGATAATCGACGCTGGAGCAATGTGATGTTTTCAGATGAGTCAAGGTTCACTGTTGATTTTTTGGACAGACGTAGGAGGGTGTGGCGTCGTCGAAACGAGCGCTTCCAAGACGTTAACGTCATCAGACATGATCCATTTGGGGGTGGTTCTGTTATGGTGTGGGGAGGCATCACTGTTGCTGGAAGAACGGCTTTACATGTTGTTGCAGGGCGTGTTACAGGCCAGTACTACCGGGACAACATCTTGGCAGTCCATGTTGTGCCGTTCGCACGACGTCATGGCCGCCGTTTCATCTTCCAGGATGACAACGCAAGATGTCACAGGGCCAGGATCGTTACAGGTTACCTCCAACAACAGAACATCACCACATTACCTTGGCCAGCACTGAGTCCCGACCTCTCCCCCATCGAGCATGTCTGGGACATGCTTGGACAGAGGTTACGTCAACGTCAACAACGTCCTGCCAATGTCCAAGAACTTGCTGCTGCGTTGCAACAGGAATGGGACAATCTGGACCAAAATGACCTTAGACGTCTCATTAGGAGTATGTCACGTCGGATCAATGCTTGTTTGGCAAACAGAGGAGGATTTACCCGTTACTGACTTGGTTGTGATGCTGTGGTAACTTTGCTGTTTGACCCCGGGTATCATTTTACCCTTATTATGGTCAGTCTGTGCCTTACTTAGTCTAACGATCATTTGGAATAAATCGATGAATGTGAACTTCATTTCATTTTGTCATTTGTTTCTTCGTCAGTTTCATTAGGTGACTTTAATAACACTTAAAAATCAAATATCCCCTACTTTTTTTGAATAGTATACCATATAATAACATCATTGTTTGCTGGCTGCTCTGGTTGACTATCAGCATCTCCCAGAAAGCCAATAAGCTACTCAAATATACATTGGGAGTAACATGTCCCATATATATTTCGATGTCTGACAAATAAAATCATTGTTAACTATCTAAAATTAGTCAAATTAAGATGATCATGACAGCTATTTAAAACCATAAGGTCCCCCCACCCCCCCTCCCCACACACACCCATTGATTATTCTTTATCACCATGGTAATACTTGACTACTTCCTGTAACACTTGAAATTGAATACAATAAGGAAAAAATCAAGTTAAATTATTTGATTGAGGATATAACTACTCCATGTCACTAGAGAATCCCTTCATGTGCTGTATGAAGTTGTAAAAATATGTTAGAGAATATCATCTTCCAGCAGAAATTTCCTGTTTATTTTCAAACTGATCCACTATAAATATTTGCTTGGCTGTCTATATCACTGATAGGGATGACATCAGGACAAGTTAACTAGCTCTCAATATTAACATTTTTCTCTTCTGCAAATTAAATTCTAAAACAAACAATTTTATAAATAATCAAAATAGAAATAATCATGGTGTTTGAAGTATAACTGGAAAAAATATATATCACATTTAGTATAAATAAAATAGTACAAAATTCTGCCTGGACCAGTTCGTATTACTACCTGTATATCTGATGTAAACAACACATGTGTTATCGACACCAAATGATCTGACGTTACACATAGAATTTACAGGGTGTGACTTTCAAGGTCAGTCATATTGTACAGTGGTTAAAGAAGGCTTTTACATTAAAGCTGTAGAACTGTTTGGGATATTTTATGACTGAACAAATTGGAAAGAGAGAGAAATGGGGGTTTAAAGTCCACTCGACACAAACTAGGTCATTTCGGGACTAACATATGGTTCAATTTTATTTCAATAATTCGCTTGTGCGTACAGGTCTTTAGTAATGGGAGGAAACCGGAGGACCCGGAGAAATCCCACGAGGTGCTGCACTATAATGAATATAATGTATAACACTGAGTTCCATGATTAAAGATAGGTTGCCTGGCAATGAAACAAACTGGGTAGTCTATAAAGGTTGTTCACCCTGTGAATCTTTAAGTAAATAATTGTCAACAAACCTCTCTTTTGTAACTGGACTTTTCTTGGGTTTAACTGGTTTCTTCACAGACTCTAAAACTAAAACAGAACATTTCGTATATATATTTTTACATGAAATTTACGACTATAGATAAAGCTGGTATGGGGGTATAACCGCATTAGTAAACAAGTCCACTTCTGTTTAATATTTTATAATAATATATAATTGCATAAAATGGGGTGTCGCGTCTACTGTTCTGCTCCGACTGGGCTAATGAAAACGGGCTTACGCCATACAGTGTGATTATGAGGAAAATTTTTCCTGGACAGCGGTGCTATGGCCTACTCATATATTGAATTCCATCTGCCAAGGGTTCTTTTACGTGTTTGCCAATGTGTACACGGGACCTCGGTATTCCATCTAATCCATGCGACTATGCATTGTCACTTGTCAGGCCCTCCTTCCTGCACCACTGACAAGGGGGAACCACGCCGGAAAATACTGATGAACTTTCTCGGCTAACACAGTGCCTCCTGGTTAGTGAGTCAACGTCTTACTTACTGAGCCACCGTGGCTAAACTGCATAAAGGTCTCGACATCACTAATCTAAATAACACATCAGATCAGCCCAATTCAATATTTTTATAAAATTTTGAAGTTATCTTTATTAGAAGAGGGGTGAAAAGGGGTTTACCCAATAAGTTTAACCCTTATCTCAAGAAGTTGATAATAGAGAAATGGGGTTTAATGTTCATGAAATTTAGCAGTGGGAGGAAACCGGAGGACCTGAGAAAATCCATGAGTTTAGACTGGTGATCCTGCTCCTTGGCACAAAGATACAGCAAATGCTTGTGTAATGAATTATTATAAAGACTAATATAAATTCTTATATCTTACATTTTTCTAAATCATCTTCATCACTAGATAATGTAGGAGCGGAATTTCTGTCAAATAAAATAACATGTTTGTTAATAAAAATATTTTAATGATCACATAGGACTAATAGGAGGTTGTAGCTAAAACCGAATCAAGTGTGATTTGAAACTGATTCTGGTGTTTTCATCAACGAAAGCTGTGTAACAGGAGTGGCCACCACATTGTAAATGGAAATCAGCATACCAAATCACAGCGATTTTCCTCTGTCCAGAGAGAGAGAGAGAGAGAGAGAGAGAGGGTTTAACGTCCACTCAACACAAACTAGGTCATTTCGGGACCAACACATGGTTCAATTTTATTTTAATAATTCGCTAGTGTATAGGGGTCTTTAGCAGTGGGACGAAACCACATGTACAACCGGGGAATCGAATCCCTGCCAGTTGACTCAATGACAGAACTTATGATACAGCACGCACATGCAAACCATTCGGCCATCCATCCCCCCCTCCTCTGTCTACCTTTAATATACTTGTCATAAAGTCCAGTATACCACTGGCACCATTACCAACACCACTCAGTCCAATAGGTGTTAAAACATCTCCAGTTAACCACCAATGAAAAACTGGTTATATTTCTATATATATATACCCAGAATTTGTTCGTTAAATAATACCGATGATTTCCCCAAACAAATTTATTATACAGCAAAAATCAACACTGTTAGTTTTCACATAAATAAAGAAAACTTACCTCCAGCTCGTTGTCGGTTCAGCCACCGTCACCTTATATCTATCAAGGTTAAGGTCAGGTAATGAATCATCTGATTGGTCAGAATATTTTGCAACTGCTGTAGATCGCGGAATATGATATTTACTTGGGGTTGATATTGTTGATTCGTTGTATTTTTCATCCTCTGAATCCGATGACAACATGGCTTTCATCTTTGCCAATGCTTTTTTCTTCTCTTTTTTGGCAGAAGAGTTCACACTGTGAGGAGACAACCTATGACCAGACGGTGTATAAAGTTTGTGTTTCTTTTTCGTGCCTGATGGAAAGGGTCTTGGTGTTGAAAAATCTTCATCCGAATCAGAAAAAGAAGCTTTACTAATTTTATTTTTGAAAAGTTTTGATTTCAGTGAGTTAATTTTGGGGGTATGTAAGGATTCAATACTGTTTTTAGGTGATTCTTTGATGGTTTGTTGAGAAACTTTCTTTTTATTAAAGTATGGAGAAAAGGTTAATTTGTTAGTTTCTCTACTTTTACTTTCATCGTTCTCAACAATGGTCTCTTTATTAAAACAATCATCCTCATGATTAGTTTCAATCATGTTTTCTTCTATTCCAACATTTGAGCTATGTGAACTAATATCCGCACTGTTGACAAAGGAATTATCAAAAGACTTGCTGATGTTTCTACCGTCGGGTGAATCAGTCTGTATAGCCATGTCTTTCACTTCATAAAATGAACCCTCGCTCGACTGGGAATTATTTGCCTTGTTGTCACTAGAATCATTGCTTGTTGGTGTCTGCGTAGCGATTTCACTCACTGTGTAATAATCATTCTGCGATTCGACTGCCGTAATATATAGTTCTGATATTCTCTTCGGCTCAGACTTTTTATTTCTAATCTTCAAATCTTCGTAAGAATCATCTTCACCGGTTTCTTGGTCAATGCTCAAATGTAAACCATCGACGGATTGGCGACTGTGAATTCGAGTCGATTCCACTAAAGGCATTCCAACATCTTCTAGAATGGAAAAAACTTCACCATCAGGGCAAGGGGAGATAACTGAAGTATTATGAATTAATTTCTCTTGTCCAGTTTCTCGTGTTAAATCTGCACCTGTACAAGCCTGACTTTTTCTAAGAGCTATTTCAGCTTTAACTGTAGGCAACTTAGCTCTAGACTGAGATAGACCTGGGTTTTGGGGTAGAATTCTCTGGTTGTCATGAAGTGGTGATTTACTTGATTTAGTCCTAGATTTCCGATGCTCACTTGTGTTGTCTGAAAAATGTATAAATTAAAAATTAACACAGTTGTTTGTGATGTTTTAGGTCAATAAAAAGAATCACACTGATCAGCAGTCAATATTCGCTAGCTTGCTAATATCACTGAGAGGGATGACATCGGTGAGGGTTCTCGCAATGATAACTTTTGACCTTCTGCACATTCTAGAACGTTCTTTTTTTGAAGTAATACAAAATAAATAAAGGTGTTTGAAGTGTATCTGGATAAAAAAATATTTCCTATTTTGTGTAAGGGAGTATATAAAATGATTACAAGGCACCATTCTATCAACCAATGAATGCATATAAATAACCATTATAAAGGTCAGTCATCTTACACAGGGGTATAAGAAGAAGGCCTCAGATTGAAAAAGAGTTATGAAATCAAATGAAATGGGGCTTAACATCTTACTTTTGTGGACCAACCTGGCTAATAAAGACGGCTACAGCCTTTTTTTATTTTGTTTTCCCATTCCCAAGGGATCCAACATGCTGCTAATCGCATACATGGGATTTGGTTTGGTTTTTCAAAATATGCCAACAAGAAGACGTGTTTTTTTGCCAGGCACCACAGACAAAGGGAAATCCGAATGTGAAATCCTGGTGAAGTTTCTCTGTATAAACTGGGATCGAGTCAGTGCACCACCCACCGTACATGTACATGCTTTCAAATAAAGAGAGATAGAAACTAGGTCATTCAGGACTAATAAATGGTTCAATTATATTTCAATAATTCGCTTGTGCTTAGGGGTCTTTAGCAGTAGCAGGAAACCAGAGGACTCGGAGGAAACCCAAGAGTTTGGACAGGCGACCCTTCACTTTGTCACGTACAAGCAGGGAATAGAAACCACACGTTTTGACTCAATGACAGACATGATCCAACGCGCATGCATTAACCATTCTGCCACCCATGCCCCCGCTTTCAAATAAAGTGAATGACCATTCATGTGCAATAGATGATTTAAGATACATGTTTTTACTTGATACAAACCTTTTAAATTGTTTTTAACAGGAAGTGGTGTGTTTTCTTTATCATCTTTACACTTTAACTTTAGTCGACTCTTTGTACTTTTCTTCTTTTGAGATAACTGAAAGATGGATAAGTTGTCAATAATGAATCATATGTATTAAATTACATTTAAAGTCAAACCACCTTCACCGATACACCACACAGATATTGTATCGTAATAAATAACAAAACAACTAATTAACTATCAAAACAAATGGGCCTGTAGTCCTACATATATGGCACAAAGACAAGTAATAAATTGATAAGAGTTTGAATACCAGTATTGAAAAAAATTTATTTACTGTTTTAATGGCACTGTCAATATCTTTATGTTGAAACCATCCAAGTTTTTCTCCCATTTTCCGGAACATGTCATTGACATCTGATGCTGGACATGGTGTCAGTGTTTTCTCTGCCATTCTTCACAATACCGTACAAAATCAATATTAAAATTGAATAATTTCAATTACAAAGTCTAAGCTGCAGTAAGCTTTGCTTCTGAAAATAAAATTGATAATTAATATAATCAGCATGCCATAATATGATGGTCAAGTTAAGGGGTAGCTACGATTGGATGCCTTTAGTTCCAAGTAGCAAACTCAATTTCTTTATTCATGCATGTAACATCTTTAAAATAGATAAGTTTATGATATTATGATTAATTAAACTTACAGAGGCCAATGTAGTGGCACAACTGTCGCCTAATTCCAAATATTCGCGTTTAAATTAATGAAGCGTTGTTTTTGTCTGACATTTCACCGCCATCGAAATCCATTCATAGTTACTGTGCTTTCGATTGTCCTTTTGATTGGCTGTTATAAAAGCCTTAGCCCCGCCTTCATGATGACAGCGTATCGTTTAAAAAGATGGCGGTCTTAGTAACGGCTTTAAGCCTCGATTTTAAAACCGACGATTTGTACCCATTTTAGGTATTATTATATGCTTAATTGTAGTTGGGTGTTGTAGAAATATTATAAATAGGCCTAACAATAATCAATCGTTGTTTTGATTAAAACTATTGTCAATTTTGTTTAAAAATGCCGGGTGTGAATCGCTCCCGCAGCTGCAACGGTATAGGTAATGGCCTCATGTCTTATCTTGAAACACGGAGGGTTGAGAGATTAAGGTTTGTTATCTATCTAGTTTAGGGGATGTAATTCATTGTGCATTGTCGTAGGTCCTGAATCTGAATCTGAAGGGTTACGTTGAAGCGACCAATTCTGGCTTTCATTCAACGGTCCTACATGCTACATTAATAAATATATAGGCCTAGCCTAGTATAGGAACCGAAATAGACTACCTTCAAATTAATATTCGCAGACAATGCAATATATTCATCTGTAAATTATTATCTAGGTCTATAAATTCATTCGAACCTCCCGCTTCCCACCGCCATTTTTGTAAATAGAGTCTGGAATTTCCAGTCTTCCTTATAAATTCTTTATTTGACATTCGCGACTACATTAAACGACAGAGCGATCATCAAGACAGAGTAAATTTTTAAAGAAGCTCTTAGATAAAAAAAAAAATTGGGGCATCGTAAAGATTCTAAGCATATTTTTGCTATTGTACAGATATGGACCATAGAATCAAACCAGTCAGTTTCTCAGAAAAACGGTCCGACAATTTTCCGTAGCAGACAAAATTTGCTGCGGGGTTGATCAATAATTAGTACTTCCGGTCTGTATATTTTCCGAAGGAGCGCAGATTTTGAGGTATGCTTAGAAAAATGTATTTATTTACCTTCATTCTGGAAAAATATACAAATATTAAGAATGAATATGTTAACTGGAATATTCCTTTGTATGTTTCATCAATAATGCGATTCCAAATTACGAGTCAGAGATGCCCCAGAAAATCAAAATTACGCCTATCGCAATCGTATCGTCATTAAAATTTTATATTTTGTTTTGACAGGTGCGATGGGGTTTAAAATATACCCCATTTACATAAAGGTTTACTGTCAATAATTTGGTAGAACTTAAAAAATACTGTAGAAGATATGCTAATCTTCAAATTCATCCCAAGTTTAATACATTTTATTTTGGAGAATATGGAAAATTTCTTGTGTAAAGTGAGCTAATTTAATATTCTCATATCTAACGTCAGTGTCAAGGGAGATAACTCCATTGTTTATGTTAATGAAGCGGTTTATCATAGAGAAACACATGTATGTGTCATGCGATTTATATAATAGATGAAGAGCTGATTAGCATAATAAATGATTGTATATGAATGAATCGGTTGAAACTCATCAAAGAATTTCTATGTCATGGTGTAATATGATATTATCTGACTCACTGTTTTTCCAATCTTTATAAAAGGGACAAATGAATAAAAGGAACGATTTCCTGCCATTTTATAATACTCATTCATTCCTGAATATCAATCAAAAAAAGTCATAATTTAGCTTAATGTTATTTCATTTTTTGTTTGTCTGTGTAGTTGGTTGTAATGCTTGTGTAAGTTTGTTTACTGCGAATAATGACATGTACATAGCATTTCAAGACTATAAAATTGACTGTCATGATAAGTATTCCACCAAATCATAATTTCTTTAGTCCAAAAAGTCAGATGTCTACCATATTTCTGTGAGTGGAGATTATAGTCAGACAAGTCTGATCTGATTTTGAAGGCGAAATATGTTAATTAATCCTGTCTGCCTTTAGTATTACACAAGTTAATTAATCCTGTCTGCCTCTTGAATTACACAAGTTACAGCCTACGGTTTAATCTCACTGTGCCCCCCAATCAAATAGTGTTATAGGGTAGTGGTGTGAAAATTTAAGTAAACAAAGGATTATAGACTGTATCCTTATTAGAACTGTTCACCTAGTTAAAATTTAATTATTTTAATGATTAAAATATATAAGTTAAGTTCACGTGTCATTGGTTAACGAGTATCTTAAATATTATTCACCTACCTTTCATTCAGACAGTACTCATAAATCAATCAAATATATGATTAGAAACTCACTATCATTATATAAGGATAGTTGTCACCCCCAATTACATTATATCTTTTAAAATGGCTCAAGTTCGCATAGGGTTTATTCCTAATTCTCAAGGAGGTCAAAATTTAGTTAATTTGGGGTATAAGTACAGAGTAAAATATACAAAACCCAATAGCACCAGCAGACTTTTACTGAAAATACAATAGTTCAATTGGATAACGGGGGACGATTGCCCCCTAAAAGACGAAAATATAAAAGAGTAGAAGAATCTATTAATGATCTAAAAATCAAACTGTTAAATGGAGTAAAAAGTGCAATTGAATATACTGACGCCATATCACATTTAGTAGGGTTATGATTTATGTTTGATACATGTATTTGTTGTTACTTTTATGAAATTTATTGTGAATAAAGTTGTTAATTAGTTTAAACCTAGTAGTTTAAAAAAACAGACTATACTTTTAACACCATTGTATTCGATAATCCCCTCGCTTGATTAATCCCTGTTAAAGTCAGAGTAACATTCTATCATTCATAACAAACTTATTATACATGTACACAGGGCTCACGTTGTCGGTCGCCAATTTGCGATAGAAATATGAAAGTGGCAATTAAAATTTGATTTTGGCGATAATGTTTTGTGATACTGATGATTCTGTTTGAGAATTGTCGGAAAAAAATCTTTAAAAAATTGAAAGCATGTGTGAGCCCTGCATCTACATGTACTTGTATTGCATTAATAATCACATTTGGGTAGCAATTTTGATCTTTCGACAGATTCTAAAACAAAAAGGAAGCACAAGATATCAAAAAGTTTTAGGGATTCCCAATAATTAACTATTCAGTAACTACAATTTAGGTACATGTAATTCCAATCTGTATCAGAAAATATTTGGGAATGATTTAAAACAAATAAACCCCAAAATAGTCTAGAAGATTCTGGGATGATAAACATTCTATGAATTGCTTTTGTGATGAATTGGATTATACTGGGGAATGAATCTTTGATTTGGGTTAGAAATGAAATTCTTGAGTTTAATGAATTTTATGTGTGGATCTGTTTTGTAGGGTGTCAACCAATGTTTAAGCCAAAATCCAATAAGTTTAGGATAGCAATTTTAAAAGTGGAAAATTTGGTCTGTAATAACAATGTATGTGCCTGTAATTTTATTTGTATAGTTTGTTAAATTGTTGGTCATCACATACGGTCTATTGGTGAAAAAATAAGTAGTTTTTAACCATTGAAATTGAAGAATTCCCCCCCCCCCCCAAAAGTCTGACTTTTCCTGACCAATATATGTCACCAAATAAATCTATTTCAAAGAGGTTGGATATTTTGGAGCAAACATTCAGTATTATTTTCTTAAAAATCATAAAATATTTTTTTCTTTAAATGCAGTTTGTTTAATGTGGATGATGTCATTTGGTCTTCAACCATGAGTGATGTTGCCATAGAAACTGGAAGCATCATGGAGGATAACAAAACGACAATGACGACGACAACATCTGAGACAACAGAATCCACAAATAATGACAGTAAGTTGCCTAATTTCCATTTCACCTGCACACTGCTCACCTTCATTTTACATATTAAATGACAATATTAGTTTCAAGATGGTCTGTGTACAGTGAAGCTGGGATAGTTTCTCCACATTATCAACCAATCAAAATAAACATCATTACTTTCATTTTCTTATTTCACTTATTTCCCCTTCAAAGATGAATCATTTAAGGGGTCACAGTGGCTAAGTGGGTAAGACGCTGGTTCACTAGCCTGGAGGTCAGGTGTTCGATCCCTGCATTGACCGAGAAGGTTCATCCAGCGCGGTTCCCCCTTGTCAGTGATGCAGGACTGAGGGCCTGACAAGGACAGCTTTCTAGTGATTTGGATGGGATGAAAAAACAAGGTCCCATGTACACATTGGCATGCACATAAAAGATCCCTTGACAGTTGGAATTCGATATAAGAGTAGGCCGTAATGCCACTGTCCGGGCAAAATTTCCCTCATAGCACACTGTATGGCGTAGGCCCTTCTTCATTAGCCCAGTTCGGAGAAAAACAGTTGGACGTTAAACCCCATTTCATTTCATTTCATTGCATCATTTAAGAGCTAAATCTGTCTATTTCAGATTTTTTACTTTGATCTCAAATATTTTATGAATTATTAATTAGACATCTATTCTCATGACAAGCCCATAATCAATTGTCTAGACATCAGCATCAGGTGGTTGTGATTTTAATAATTTAACTCAAAATTGGATAATCAAGACTAAAGTTTATTATTGTAACAACGCTCAGAATGAAGTAAATGTAGCGCCACTTTGAGACCAGACACGAATCTGGTCTTTGTGTGTATGAAAGATTTAAAATGTATTAGAACACTAAGTATAAATCACGAAGTTTGATAAGTATTAATTCTACTTCTATTTGATTAAATTGAAAATATTTATTTAGTTTATGTGTGTATGAAAGATTTGAAATGGATTCAGACTGCAATACTAAATAGAATACTAATTTTTGAATATAGTTTTCAGTGCACAGAATGTTACAATGTTCCACGAGTGTCAGTTAGGTTAAATTTTCCAAACCATTTGTTTGTAGCAGTCGAATAATTTATATGGCAATCAACACCAAATAGATGGTTATTAAACGATTTTTGTAAACACAACACACTCCTTGGTGCCCTTCGATAAGTCTAGTAGCGTCAGTCATCATGTTTCCTAACCATGTATATAAGGCTTCCACACTCCATGAAAAGCATTTTGGGGTCCACAAAGTCAAAGATGTCCGTTGGGGTTATTGATAGGAATAAGAATCATCTTGTTATGGGATGATGTACTATTTTTGGATCAGAATGTCTATAAATACATGTACATGTAACTTGTAACCATGTAGTTTCAAGTTCCTTCTGACCCCGACTGTCAGTGGTTGATTCATGAGTGGAAGTTTAGTATTTTTATGGCTAACCTCTGACTAGGAAAATGCTATTTTTAGCATTTTTCTTCCATCATCAGCACATGCCTGTTATCACTACTGATTGAATGGGAAAACGTGCAGCAAATGCAGATGTGGTGATCTTTAAGATTTGGAAATTGTCTCAAGGGGTCTGCGAATGGAACAAGGATAGGAGCCACTGAAAATATTGATATGAGGGTCAAATCGTGATAAAGTGTTGGTCTTGGACCCAGGATCAACATTATAGTGAAACCCAAGTTCAGGATTTGTCACAATCCTTTTGGTGCCTGTCGATTTGTACCATGTGTGAAATAGCTTTATTTAACGTCTGCTTCCACCGAAGTAATTTGTACCACAATGATTTGTCCTTTTATAGATATTTGGTGGGCTGGATGGTCTTGTGGTTTGAGTTTGAATCATGCACATGAAATCACAAGGCTTGTCATTGAGTTAAGTGGCATGGTTTCGATTCCCCTCTTGAACATGACAAAGTGTCAAACCCCATGAGTTTTTTCCGGGTCCCGAAGTTTCCTTCCACTGCCAAAGTCCCCAATGTGCAAGCGAATTGTTAAAGAAACATTAAACCATATGTTAGTCCCAAAATGACCTAGTTAGACTCTCTCTCTCTCTCTCTCTCTCTCTCTTATACAGATATTTAGTACTGTTACATGTCTATAAAAAAGTTCAAAATGTTTTGTACAGTAGTTCAGTAGTGTCTGACATTTTGTTATGTACACCCAAAACCGATATTTCCGGGCCTGAAAGTATATTTTTACCAATACCGCATGTACAAGTAGGGTATAGAATCGACTGCGAACCTGATACAGACTCTTTAGATATCCATGGTATTATATTGTAGACAGAGATTGCTGTAGAATTATTGATTACGCTAAGTTTGTTTCTAGTAATAGAACTAACTCTAACTATCTGGCTTTATTCTGTCCATGTGAAACCTAAATATTATTGACATACTGAAACGATTGTGTCAAATTTCTCGTTCATATGTCATTAGGTGGTTGTAATTGGCGACACTTTTAAAAGACGACAACAAAATTAGGGCAAATAGGAAAGTATTGATCTATAGGGAAACCTGTGTGTGTTGATTTGCATTTCGTTTTGTAAGTGAAGGGCTTTTAGTGTTAGAATTTACAAGTGGATGTGGTCATAGATTAAACTAAAAGTAAAGGGAAATGGTAGAAAGAGATTAACATTAATTTGATTAGCAGTCTAGTTTTTTATGAAAACATTCAAATTTAAAGTAACAATGTCTTATTTTAGAGCTATAGAATCCCAAGCAAACTATAAAATTATAACCATCCCAGAATTCTTTTATGAAGCGACTAGTTTCGTTCAGTTCGAACTCATCAGGCTTAAAAATACATTATGTAAGATTTAGAAAAAGAGCTGACCGTTCTTGCTATAATAGCTCAAAAATAGACAATGTAAAATGAAAATATTACTGTTCTAAATTAGTTAAAATCTTGAGTAGCCGATGCCATCGAGAGTTGATTATGTTCTTGTTTTTGTAATAAATGTCTAATTAATAGTTTATATAACATTTAAGGCCTAAAGAAAGACTGCAATAGACAGATTTAGCTCTTACATAATGTATGTTTAAAGGAGCTAAATCGCTAATATTTGGGACCTAGAAATTGACATAAATGAGTCGCAACACATACAATAATGTTATCTGAATGTATATAAACTGATTTACATTCTATTGTTTCCGTTTTTACTCTAATTTCAAATCAGTTATGTTCGGTGAAATATGCCAGAAGTCTCTGTCAAATAGCAATCTCTAGCATCTGGTTATTCCAGTCTATTGCGCATGCTCTCCAGATAAGAATATTGCGTCAGTGTTTGACATGACTTGTGGAATCTCTAGTCTCGTTCTTTCTTGTCCCTTGTTAAAAATGACACTGAAATGCTATACCAATGGTAAAATGTTTATTTTGTCTTAAATATTGGATACGAGAAGCCCATCTTTTCCCGGTAAGATCACAACATCAATGTTGATTTAAATTGACAAATAATTTGTGTTTTCAATGTCGAAGACTTTTGATGATATTGAGTTAGAGACTTGGCTACTTTAAGTGAGATTGTGCGGCTGTTCCCTTTGTATAGTTGTTGGGACCGGAGCACAAAATGAGTCTTAAAGTTAGAGTTCTGTATCACCGGAGCAACTGCTACCGTTATTGGTGAGATGGCTAAAGAATTGCCGTTATAAAATTGCTTATTTGCATAAACTCTAAAACTCCCCAACTCTTTTGACTATGTTGTTTGAAAAAAATACATAAACTATTTGGATAACCAAATTGGGTTACTGAAATGTATATTAACTAAGTTTTTCTAGTATTAGAAAATGCTGTGGGATTTAAATATTTAGCATAATTTGGAACTCTTAGTCTGCAATCGGATTGAGGTTTCAACTTATATTTTGCAAGTGTGATGTCAGGATTTAGGATCAGGACATGATAAAAATACCTAGTTATCTTCACAAAGTTTTTGATTTTCCATATATCGCATATAATGGGGCGGAAGACTGGCATTGCCTCTAATCCGAGGAACTGATCAACTCTGTCATTTTCCCGTTTCTAATCGTGGGATAAGGAATAAAATATGACGACCTGTCACACATTTCTTCTGCTTGTTTGCGAAAAATATCTGAAGTAATACCAGTAGGGTTTTCAGTGTATTATGAAGCTAAAACACCATTCCTCGCATTGAGAATTAGTGAGCGACAGTCGCCATTGTGATGCCAAGGGAATTCCCATAAGCCTATTAATGGCGATGTCCCAAATATGTTGACAAAAGTTGATAAATCGAGGTCCTGCAATTAATGTTCACAAGAGAGAAATTACTAATGGAATTTCAAGTAATTAGTGTAGAAAGGTCAGTGATTAAAAAAAATATAAATAAAGAAGGTGGGGATCAGTCGTGAAACGCCCAATTGTTTGTATCGTAACATTTCACACGCATGTCCTGCGAAATAAAAAGTTATTTGAACTGGTTTCGGTCTATTATATTTAATATCTGCAAACTGTTCTTTGATTCGCTTTGAAAAAATGCAAATCGTTCATCATTACTTTAATTTAAAAATGGAGTCAAAATTGTTAATAGCAAGTGCAGGGGGACTGCACCACATACTAACAAATATACAAGACAAATCTATGGACAAGACACAATAATATACAGACATCACAAACAACAAAGTACACATCAGAACAAGTCAATGGATTTGGGGGCTAGCCGTAAGCGGCACTGCGCTATGCAGTTCTGGGCCTGTAGTGATACAGACTTCATTCAAAATGAAAAACAATAAGGAAATATTTTCCAAACGATGTATAACACTAGTGTGAGTCATGATTAACTGTCTAACCTTTGGCTTCCTCTACTGATAAAGACCCCAATAGGCAGCAGGCAAATTATTGAAGTAAAAATCTACCATGTTTGTCCTAAAATGACCTAGTTTGTGTTGAGTTGACATTCTCCCTTCCCATCTGTCTCTTTCATTGCTAAATCTAGTTTAATTGCTGTGTACTCGTGGCTCAAGTTTGATGACTTGTTGAAACCCAAAAGA